ATTTAAATAAATTATTTAAAATATCTTGTAAACGTTAATCTTTAATTGATATCAACAAATTAATTTGTAACTAAATCAGGCTTTTTAAAAGGAAAGTTTTTGTACTATTGAAAAGGTTAAAACTGCTTTAAATACAACTGTGGTAATAGTAATATATTTTCCTTTTCCAACCTGTAGATAGATGTTTGTTTTTTTCAGAGCTAAGTAATTGATGTTGAAAATATTAACCTACTTACTATATTAAGTATTAAATATTAAGTAAATTTACTTTTGTGGAATTATTAAATTTTCGGTTATAAATTAACACAATGTAAACAAAAGTGTTCAACTTGCATGCTTCATCTCTTTATTATTATAAACTTATAGCTTTAGTACATATTTATCTTGGACATGAAAATATTTTGCATGTTAAAATTGATTTTGTGTAACATTTTATACATGACATAGTTTTTGCGAATTTCCCCTATATGGAAGAAGCTATTACCGTAGGTGGCATATTAAGACCTAGATCTGGGACTAATTAACTTTTTCATTTTGATGCACTCAGAGGCCGAAAACAATTTTCGTTCAGATTCACTAAATTATGTCTGTGAACTTGATAACTCCGGCAATTTTTGTGTGTAGGGCTGGATAGGCCTACACTTAAACCTGAACTAGTAAGATCGGGTCATGAGAACAATGTGTTATGGTGATGTAAATCTTAAAAAAAATTGGGTTGTTCAATTTTTTTACCTTTGAAACAGGTAATTGCCCAATTTTTATAACAACCAGAATGTAAATCCAATAATTCTCTAGGTTTTTAGGCGTTGTTGTACAATTAAAGGTCAAAGAGAACATTCCAAATAAACAATGACATCAGCAAACTGACACATACTTTCTCACATTAGCTTGTCAACAACCTTTATATTGGGTAAGCTTTGGGAGTAACTAAGATATTTTATGGGCAAAATGAAAAAAAAAAAAATTTAATAACTTTCTGTACTTTTTACAGCATTGGCCATTGTTCAGAGTTAAAACGACTATAACATATTATTAAATTTTAATCTATATCGTTTTAACTTTTTTTATCAGATTTTTATGTTATTTCATGGGAAAATCACCATTATAAATAAAAAATTCAGGTTAACGGCTTGAGACCATGAATTAGTAGCCACATTCCAAATTTCATCAAAATCAGACTACAGGTGTAGTCTGTAGCTCTGTACACAGACATCACTTGGAAAACAACTGTTTTAGGTTCAGGGGCAACTCAAAAATTTAGACTAAAACAATACTGTACACGGGGAGAAATTCATAACACTATACATTTAAAATTCCCACGTTTTTCTCATGCAGGAAAAGTAAACCATCGTAGTTTGCTTGTTTGTGGATATATTGTGATCAAATGTTTCAAATTGATTTATCTTATACTATATTACTGTAATGACATTTTACAAAAAACACCTTTTCTTTTTTGTAGCAGCAAACCTAGGTACTCGTTAAATCTAATGTTATTTAAATAGTGAATAAATATGACATTTTAAATTAAATATTTTAGTACAAATTCACCCAGAAAATGGAAATTTGCTTATTCTGTAAGTTTGCTGCAGCAGGGGTATTGATCTTTTTTATCGTTATATCGATATTCGATAACTCTAGTATATAACTAGTCACGACTTACTTTATTCAGTCAGTTTTTGAATGATAAACAGTTAGATCACGGAAACTATACCAAAAAGTCCTGAAATAGATTTGACAGGCTAAAACATATAAAAATGGTTTATGTTACCTTTTGCGTCGAATGATCCTTGTGTAGTTAGTACAACTACAGCTATTTCATACCACTAGGGTACATCTTCAGATTGGTAGAACGTTAGATAAAAAAAAGCATTCATTCGTAGATGAACTTGTCGAGATAAATATGTTTATATACACAAAATCATATAATCTCGTAACATGTAACATCATGTAACATATTTATCTCGACAAGTTCATCTACGAATGAATGCTTTTTTTAATCTAACGTTCTACCAACCTGAAGATGTACCCTAGTGATATGAAACAGCTGTAGTTGTACTAACTACACAAGGATCGTTCGACGCAAAAGGTAACATAAACCATTTTTATATTGCAATTTACGATCCAGAGGCTTACCTACCATGAAAAAGGCGAAAACATATTTGATATTTCTTAGAATCATCCCTACAACATCCAGAGGTTAAGGTTTAGTTTATTCTAATATATTATAAATTAAATTTATATTAAGACCTAATAATGAAAACAGAGTTCAATTTTTTAAATCACAATACGGTTAGAAGTTACAACTATCTAAATCAATTTAATTGGAACTAAACATCAGTTTTTTTAGATATGTAGTCACAAATTTACATACCAGCAGTTTTTACTATCAACAATAAAAGTATTCAATGGAAAAAGCTTATTAAAAAAATGTAATGCATAGCAAGTGGATTCTTTAAAAAAATAATAATGTCAGAATGGAATCAATTAAATACCCCAACATACAATTTTGCAATTGAAGTATTGTGGCACTGGTAAATTAGTTTAATCCTTCACCACCATTAGTTGTGAGAGTTTCGAGAAACTCAAAATGCTACATCTATGTCTGTCAAGTTATCCTGCTTGGATTTAAAAAAATTAAAACGGCATATAACAATATGCTACATACGGTACACTCGAAGTTTGTCATAATACATTTGAGACATACAGTTAAAAGTAAATACAGTATGACATTACTTTAAACTCATGAAAGTGATGGTAAATACTTTTTACAGATAAGGACTCAAACTTAAACTCTCCATTTGTCACAAAACATTTCCTTTTTTTTTGTTGCCAAGTTGGTGAAATAGGTGACAAGTAAAGAGCTCATAAGCTAAAACTAAAATTATGAATAACATAATCACTTGTCAGTGAACTACAAAACTAACTAACTACATAACATAAACTAAGTCAAAGTTAATAATGGTTTAATTTACCTCTGTCAATATGGTCCTTGCGTAGTTTGTCACTACTGCAGTTTCGTGCTCGTGGAGCACATCCTCAGGTGAAGATCACGAAAGTTAAAACATTCTCTTCATGTGAAGGTCGTCAATTTTTGAAGCAGCTAAAGTACATCCCAGCCATATTTTAAACGAACAACTCTCATTCCAGTCTAACATTATTTATAATACCGCCATTCACATCCTGGAACAAGACCAAAGAAAAGGTCCTGATAAGAGACATGAGGACGGAGAGGCTACCGACTGCAGCACACGTCAGTCATGACTTGCCTTCTACCGGCGCCGGACCTCGTGTGTAATGTTTTAATGTATTGGCCAAGTTTGTAAATGTTTTTTCGTACCGTTCGTGTGTTGTATGTTTTCGGTGTTTTTTCAAAAATTGACGACCTTCACATGAAGAGAATGTTTTAACTTTCGTGATCTTCACCTGAGGATGTGCTCCACGAGCACGAAACTGCAGTAGTGACAAACTACGCAAGGACCATATTGACAGAGGTAAATTAAACCATTATTATTGTTGCTGTATGGTCCAGAGGCTACCCATCATGAAGTAAGTCAAAGTATCATCGAAAAAGTTATTTTTACAATATAGGCCTACATCCTATGCAGTAACAGTTATTGAATTTCTACTTTAAATTTACTGTGACAGTCAATATCCCCAATTCTAATAGGCAGTTTTTTGTACAGTTTTCCCCCCTAAAATGAGGAACCTTTCAAATTATCTTTGTCATTTGAAAACTTGGTTGGTTTGTTGTTTGACATTTTTACTTAACTTCAAATCTATTTGTTCTGAAAATAACAGACAGAACTGTTGACATTTTACAGTTAACAATGCCTATTGTCTATAGTTTAAATTTTGAATCAACCAATCAAAAAGGTGCACACAAACTTTAGTCTTTTTGATAGTTTAAAGTTTCTTTAAAGTATCTTTAAAAGTTTCTCTAATATAAATATATTAGATTGATCCTTCTAATAATTTTAATCGTCCTTAAAGTAATTGTTCAGTACGGTAGTAAATGTTGTTGTAATAGTGGATATACTTTTAATAAACTATTGTACTTAAACAAATGTCCCTTCAATAAAATCCTTTGTAAATACAAAATTGGTAGAAGGTTATTTAGTTTTTTTTATTTAAACATTCTATATTTTTTAAATGCAAATAGTAGCAGCAAGTCCATCAGCTTAGCCTATACTGCAATAAGCTAAGCTGATGGACTTGCTGCTACTTGTTTTAGTTTTATTTTATTTTAGTAGCATCACAGTAATTTAATTCTCAGCTGTAGTGAGAGTTGATTTATTTTGTATAGCTTCCAGAAGATTCTTTGTCTAAATCAGTTTCAAGTTCCCTTTTTAGGAGTGATTTATATATATATATCACTCATATGATTTTTTTTTCAATTTATGCCGATGTATATCTTTACTAACTGTTTCATGCATAAATCATTTATTATTAATTTTACTGGTGTTAAAAGTGAATACATTTGTAAAAATCAATTTATACTTCAATGTGTCAAGAGTTAAAAGTAAAACTGAAGATTTTAGATGTAATCAACTTAACACTTTAATTAAATATACAGTTATATAGTTCAAGAGTCCATAGTGTCTGATTGATATGGTCATTGATTTAACAATGATTGTCAGCTATAAAAGTTACTGTTTATACAATGTGTATGGCTCTTGTTAATTTAAAGAGGGCTTTGTGACATGTACAAAAAGAAAATAATCTAGTCAAGCAATTATAAAGTGTAAAGTCTCACTGATTTATAAATAGTCAAATAATTTGCTGAATTTGCACGTTAAGCAGCTTAGCATGTGTACATTCAATGCTGTAGGCATGTATTATATTTTGAGATGATGCAACGAAACTAGACAATAGTTTTATTTTTATAGACTAGATTAGTTTCCTTTCTTAAATTGGTTGGCTCGCAATACTCATTTGTTTGTTTTCTTTGTTTCTTTCTCTCCATATTCTCTCTCTATCTCCACCATAAATACTATATCTAGGATTTCAACAGTTCGGGGGCATCCCTTTTCCCTTCCCGACGGGGAATGTTGTCTCTTTGGTAGATACATCCCTCCCCATAGATCCCCAGTACCTGGTACCCTGGAGGATGTTGGTAGGCGAGGGTTGCGGAGGTGTTTCTGCGTCCCCAGTGGCTGTCTCCAGTAGCGGGGGGTCGTCCTCGGGTAGCGGAGGCGCAACTGTGGCGTATCCCCCACCGCCGACTACTGACATCGACAGAATCATGGCTAAAATCGATCAGGACAACCGAATCCTCGCGGAGCTCGACAAAACACGATCCACTATAGGTAAATAATTTAAATCCTCCTAAGCGCTTCCATAAAATAGAAATTCTTTTTTGCCCATTTCATATTAATTGAGCTTGAGATTTAATGTAGAGCTGCTTTGTACTTTTACGATTTGATTTTCCTTTTTAACTCACTTCTAAAGCAAATAAATGTGTGTGTTTAAATATTAATGTGGTTAATATTTAAACTCTTTTAGTGATGTAGTGTTACTTTTTTTGTCTTATACTACAACTTGGACAGCTTGATTGTTAATTGATATTACCCAAGTATTTTTTTTAATTTTTAGTATTTCAGATATGATAATATGACTATACAGTTATTGAATTAGTGTGAAAACAAATTGGTGTATGTAACACTAATCAACAACACACTTATTTTATTTTAATGTCTGCTAAGAAGGGTTTAACAATTGGCGTTGCAAATCACTCTCATTATGACTAAATGTTTAAAAGAAAGCCAAGGAAGTCATAGCTTGATATCTAACTGTGATGAAGTTTGAATTTCAAATCAACAATCTGTTACAGATTACCTTGTATTGGCTACAAAAAAATTACAAATTATGGAGAGATGTTCCCAAACTCTTACAGCTCTTTCCCCAATCCTAGTCGGTGTTGGGTCCACTCCTAGTTGTTTTCTTGGTCCTTATGTATAGAAGATTTATGCCACACGTTCAAAAATTATTTTGGCTGATGAATATCTATGACTTAAGAGAGTTCACAGTAAGCAAACTGACCGGTGACCCTGCATATCTTTTGTTCATTTAATTTTTTTTTATATTTAGAATAATCGGGAGTTAAAGAACAATCTTATAATTTTGTTCACATTCCTATTCGAATACTATTTTAGCTCAGAAAACTAACTGGTCACTTTAAATTTTTTGTGTTTAAAATCCAAAAGAGCTGCAGAATAGTCTCTAGAATTTTACTTAAATTGACTGTGAAAAGGTAGAATAACATGAAAGATAGCTAAAAAATATAAAAATTCATGTTTAGGCATTAAGTATGTCTCCCATTAAAATCATTGCCTTATCTTATTTTAAAGGTATAATCTCAAGTAACGTAGAAAATAACTAAAGTTCAAAACATCACTACTGCTACTGCAACATTGTATTAAATGTGTGTTTGTCTTACGATAATAGATTTGGTAATAGCAACGGTTATAAAATTAAATTATGAGTATTATCCAGTGAATACCGGTACCGGTATCCAAAACATTCAAAATGTAATTAAGTTATTAATGCTGTCTTAAAACCAGTTAATCTTTTCTTTAGCATTTTTTCTGTTGCTTCAGTACAGTCAAACCTATGTGTCACAGGTCTTAGAGTTTAGTGAGAGTTATTGGGAGAAGATGTGTTCAATTTCCTGATTTTTAGGCTGAAGTTTGACTTTAAGATGTCTCAGTAACGGAATAACAATAAATGTAGCTGTTATTTCTATGGTACAATTTATACTTATCTTTAAAATTGCTGGCCAACCTCTTCTTCTGATGTAAATTCTTCAAAACACATTTTGACCATCGAATTACACAGAAGTCTAATATTTTCAGTGAATTAAAAACACTTGTCTTTGTTTGTGATGGTATATTTTATATTTAACAAGACAAGAATAATAAAAAACAATAGATCAAATTCATTGAACTTTTTTATGATGTAACCAAACTATTATTTGTGAGTTTTATTGTGTATAAAAGTGACATAGGGTTCATATAACATAGATCATCTGGTAGTTTTTTTAGATATTACAATAATATACAGAATAAGTTTTAAGATACATAACCCTTAGACATAAAAATCATAAACGTGACACCTACAAAAAACCTCATACTGGAAGTTTGTTGTTTTTTTTTATTCATCGCCAAAATATGTATGCTTTCTGTTTATGTATTACTATTTTAAATATTAGCAAAAGAACCCATACAACATATTTTATAATGATTCGTTATATCTTTAGGATTCTTAGCACTGTTCTCATCATTGGACGTGAAAACTGTCCAGTTTTTTCCAAGCAATAACCCTTCGCTTCCCGAGTAACAATAATTCTTGGTTATCATCACTAAGTGGGGTTGTGTACCACTTTACAAAAATAGTCTCATGGAAAAGTTTTTATTTATTATTTAATTATCTGACAGCACCAATTAGTATTTAAGCAGATTATGAAGATGGATGACTTAAATAAATAAATAAAATAAATAAAAACTTACTGCTGGCATTTTTCATAAAATTGTCGGCCGAAATTTCTGCACTAAAAGAATTACTTCACAAGGCCCAAGCATTTTGAGTCTGACAAAAAACCATTATTGAGTTTTTATTTAACGCTTGTTCACATTGACTCTGCTGTTTATAGCAAACACAATAAACTTAAAATGATTTCCCTTGTTGATTTTAACAATGGGTTTCCCATGGATCTGATTTTTGTAACATTATTTTCTACCTTTTAGAGGTTTTATTTCTTTAAAAGTACAATTTGAATCCACCTCATGAAAACTTGCATCTTTCAGTGTTACATTAAGCTATTCTGCTGAGAATATTGGTTTTACAGTAATCTTGTAACAACTACCTTAACTTTAGTAAACATTTTAATAGCAGTCTTACTTTTTACCTATATAAAAATCATTAAAAATTGTGAATTCAAATTTATTGAAGCAATTAACAAAGGTGTTAGTGAAATGAAATGGATGAAAAGTCGTATCAATATAATAAATAGTCAAAATAAAAGCAATTGATTTATAGAACTTTTATATTTGAAGGGATTTATAAAACATAACCTCTACACAATACATATTCTCATCTAGCTTTCTGAATGGATTTACAAAATTATGATGTTGAAAAATTACATACAATGAAACATCCTAAACAAAGTTCTTTTAAGTAGCCATAGTATTAATATATTTACATAATAAGTGGTTAATGAAACTCAACTAACCCTTTTGACTAACACCTATTGGCCCTCAAGTAGTATGTCGAATCTAACTTACTAGTGCCGTCGGGTGCTTCTCTGCTTTTACTGGCAATCGACCTGTTTGGGTGACGGTGGCTTGGTAGCTCGGTTGGCTTAGGGGTTGCATTGACCACTATAGGGTTGAGGTCTTTCTACATCCATATTGAGCTTCCTAATGTGTGGCTTAGCTGGAGTGGAAGGCCCACCTTAAATAAACAGGGTGGAAGTTGACGGCATTAGTGAGTTTAATAAGGATTGCACACATCACCTGTTTTGCTTCTTTTTGCAAAAAACTTATTTTGCATAGAGGAGAGGACACAGACTTGTCTTTTCGTGCTTTAATTTTGGTTAAAAATTTACATATCGTGCTGAAATAGATATATAATAAAAGACATAAAAGAATAGGGATACTGGTAACCTAATAAAGATTTATTCACAGAGAAATATAGAAAATTCTATTGTTAATTGGTTAACAATAATAAAGTCATTATGAGAAGAAGAATTTTTTTAAAGTGGTAAATTTTAATTTTTTTTATATCTTTTACAGTTAGTATTTTACAGATTTTCTTGTAGGAATTCAAGAACACTGTAATAAGCTTTTTTAATAAGTAAAAGTTTGAATGTTTTTTTTTTTACTATGCGTTGTTAACTGTTTAAAACGAACAGACACAGTTTTTTGTAAAACTTCATCACCATATAATTTGGGGAATTTTCAAATAATGCCAAAGAATTAATTGGATGGTGGAATTTATCTTTAAATTGGGTGTTGTACCGATGGACTATGTCCTGTTTATTTCTAAGATCATGTGTAAACATTTAAAAAAAGTATAAATGTACAGTGCAGAGATGGATGGTTAATATCTCCAGTTCTATAAAAATATTCAATCATGAGAATTGTCTACTTAAAACAACATTTAAGTATAGCAGTAACATTTGGAGATTACCCCCAATTTTGAATTCTGTACCGTGCTAGTGATAAAAAAAAACAAGCATAATACTGTAATCCTTAATTTAACATATACCAATTCTCTCAATATGTGAATTTGATAGCTTGATGACCGCAACTTTTTATTCAATATTTTATATGTGGCTTCTAATACTGACTTCTATCAACTATGAGCCCCAAAGATTTTACTTTGTCCCTATGAATATCTGTTAAGTTTTTATTACTTGATGTCTAAAATTTTACCTTTACCGTTGATGAGGGAAGGTTCACAAAAAAATCGAGAGTTACATCACTAAGAGCTAGTGCTATTAAATTAATCCAACAGCACTTGATTGTAGTGATGACTGTACTAAATAACAAAAGCAACTGCGATAGGGAAAGGATTCTTGTGCGCTTGCACATCCCGCTTGTCATTCTAATGACCTCAGTCCATCTAGAGGTACAATCCACTGATGTATTGGCTGGGTAGCCGGTTATAGTGCTATCTTTCAAATCTGAAGGTCGCTGGTTTGAATCCAAGCGAGATCGTTTCCAGACCCAGATGCCATTTGTCATTGGGCTATGAATTAATGATGCTATCTAACAATAAGGTCGACGTTTGATTGTAACAAGACCAGGGTTTCCTTTCAAAACTTAAAAAATGCCACTGGCGTAAATACACATAAAATAAAAAAAATTTTAAATTTATTTAAGCTACTTTGCAACAGATCGCTGCCAGAACAGCTGGCTCCTCAAGCAAATAAACACCTTTATAGTGTTTCCGATCGCAAAGATTTAGTCTCAAGTATCAGGTCTCCATTTCTGTCATTTGCATTTCTCAGTTGGCATTCATGTACATAAACATGTGCATGATTTCTCATCCCCTCGATAGCTTAATAATTTAAACATGTCAGTATGAAAGGATAGTCCTATAATTTTTATGAAGGATGAGTTTTTAGTTTTATATAATTATGAATTATAAATAAAACAGGGGGTAGACTGCTGCCTAACCCGCCCCTATGGACTTGCACTGCAGCTCAGCTTACAGTCCCGGGCCACAGTAAGTGGACTTCTTCCCCTGTTGTAGACTGGTAGAAATAGTTAGACATTTGACATCTTGTATGTTGTTTAAATAGAGCATTTACTAACGCTTTTCAGATTAGATTATTGTTCCCAGTAGTTGTCATTAGTAGAAGTTTATCTAGCTAGTTTAACAAACAACTGTTAAAATTAAAGGTACTGGTAGTTAATTATGCCCCTTTAGTTCCCCTCAAAAGATTATTATATCTATTTAATGACAGAACTAGTATAACATTAACTGCATATGTTAGTGTTAATATTACGATGTCAGTTTATTTTTCACTCATTAGGAGAGATGAGAGATGTATTGACAACTGAATACCTACTCCACAACATTTGTAACAGAATAGCACTGGCCCATTGACAGATCCTTGGGGAACTCCCAATCAATCAATCAATTTATTTATTGAACAATAATAATGAATACATGCGTATTATACGATAGGTGCAAAAACCATACAAGGCTTGTCTGCACCAAGCCTGGTATTATTATTTTGTAGATATGTTAATCGTATTCCTTGACCAACTAGTTTGGCTGTAGGTTTACTTCAAGTACATGGCTTCTTTTTCCTAGATAATTAAAAAATTAAGCTTCAGCCCTTCATTTCATACTTACAAGAGAGAAAGTTACTACAGAAAATCTGCTAACTTTGGCTTGTTTTTTGTTAAAGTTCGACAGTTTAACTTGAGAGCTAAATACTTTTAGAGCATTTAACATTTTTTAAATATGTCCCCTTTAACTCCTTAACCGCGGCATAAGTTGGCGCGCCGCGGTTAAACCGATCAGTGACGCGTGGTTTACTTACGCTCGCCGATGGCCCAGCGTGGGGATTTCGCAATTTTTTGTGGTTTTTAACATTCTGAGGAAACCTACTTTAAAATGCATTTTAAAGCAATTAACTATGATAAATGCTATAATAAAGATTATACAAGTATTCATGTTAATGTAAATGATAAATACCCCCGCCGCAGCAAACCTGCCGACTAAGCGAATTTCCATTTGTCTGAATTGATTTTCAATTAAATATATTTAAATAACATAAGGTTTAACGAGTACCTAGGTTTGCTGCTACAAGGAAACTAATAAAGTGTGTTTTTTAGTAAAGTATTGATAGCTTAGTATAAAATAAATAAATTTGCCAAGTTTGATCAAAATATATCCATAAACAAGCAAACTTCAACATTTGACAATATTCTCCATAAGAATAACATGGGAATTTAAAAATTACAATTTTCTTTATTTTCTCCGTTATCAATAACCGAACAAAAATACTTTTATATTCTAAATTATTTGTTTTTTTAAGCTCTTTAAAAAGGTCTAAAGAGAAATCGGGAAATTTTGTGTTTTGAGGGTCAAAAGTGAGAAAAACCAATTTTTACCCCATAAAACCCCCCGTAAAGCCTTGTTCCCATGGTCTGATCATGCTGGTTCTCGAACTCATTCAAGTTTATCCCGCTTTACACCTTTAAACCAAATTTCATCAAAATCGGACAAAAATTACTCAAGTTATCGCGTTCACGGACGTATATATATATATATATAAATAAATATATATATATATATATATATACATATATAAAAATTTTAACGAATAGTGTTTTTTGCCTCTGGGGACATCAAAATTAAAAAGTAAATCGGTCCCGGGTCTAGGTCTTACCGTGCCACCTACGGTAATAGCTACTTCCCTATAGGGAAATTTGCTAATAATAAAATATTGTAGGCCTACTTATCATATTTACTTATGGGTTTTATTTTGTAGTCTGGTCACATCGAGTGGATGTTTCAAGAAGTAAATATTAAATATATACACTATTTACAAAGGTTACTTTTAACTTTTTTAAATTATTCAGGGTATGATACTCCCTGAAGCATGGCACTACGCGCAAGGAAGCCGCGCAGTCCTGGCACTAATACCGCAACTCCCGCCTGGCCGGTTCACGTCGCGTAGTGTGACGGCAAACATAGCATTGAAGTGGGGGATACTCTTTTTTTTCGCTGAAGGAATACATGATGGAAAATGACGCTGTGTCAATCTCAGTGGTGTATGGCCAGAGGAGGATGGCCATCGGTTTTTTACTGTGGGTCTGAGCTGCCATGTTTTCCTCTAAAAGTTGGCGAACTAGCTCTAAATGGAATTCTGCCGGTGTTGGTTTCCAGCTCGTTACACAAAGGTATATTGCATGGGAATTGAGTATTTCCAGATCCACAAAATGTAAAAACAGTTTTTATACCACTTTTGGGTGCACCTGACACATGTAACATTGCTTAGCATCATATCTGTGCCGTCTACAGAGCCCATGCTATCATTATATTCTTGGACACATTTTGGCTCCATAACCTTTTCTTTTGTAACGTAGTTTACTTTTCCGGAGTCAACTACTTTATCATCATGTTCTTTTGTGATCATCATAACTTCTCTTTTATCTTCCCACTTTACAACCATGCTTGTTCCATCATTGAAAACCTCCCGTTCGCCAGCTAAAAAACTCTTTCTGAAATTCAGGCATACCTATTCTCTCTCATCTTACTGTACCACGAGAATTGGTTTAGTTCAAATCCAAAAAACATAAACATATCAGGACTACAATAGCAATTATCAACGTACAAACAATGACGCGAAGCTATCATATCAACGTGACAAAAAAACTACCAAGCGTGACCTTTGATACTGCAGAACACGTGGCTCTACGCTGTAGTTTCAGAAAGATACACTTGAGTGCAGCACCAAATGGTCTGTCAATTCTCAGGGTCAATGTATCATGGAAAGAAAATAGCAGAAAACTTGTATCAACGAAATATATCAGCTGAAAATGTCAAAACTGTCTAAACTCAGGCGTCGCGGTTAACGCCACAAGGGTGTTGCACGTGATATTCCGTGCTACGCAATAGCGGGTATAGAATACTACCACGGAATAACGGGTGTGTCGCGGTTAAGAGGTTAATGGGAACATGACATTAATTTTTTCTTTCATTTTTGTTTTGTTCATTTGTTTCTTACAAACTACTGTACCTTTAAAAGAAGTAAATTCCTAACTATCTCTCTTACATTGAACTTATAATTGGTTAATCTTACTCCTCACAAAATCTCATTTATCAGCATATGCAGAATGTGACTACAAGTTTAAAATTTGGTACATTTAAATCTTTTTCAAAAAGCTTTCAACCAAAGTACTCATCTGAATGTAGAGAGCCAAAGTATAGTCAAGTGAATGCCTTAACTAGTTGACTGTATAGACTAATATTGTTAGAAACAGAAAGTAGATCATATAACTCAGTTATTTTATATTCAAGATGTGTAAAGCATTTGATGTTAGCTAAATGTTAGCTTAAATGTTATTAACTATTCCATAGTTCTAAGGTAGATTAGTAAGACTATAATAAGACTATAATAAGCGGCGCTGAATGCTTTCTAATTGATTGATGTGGTTCTGTTGATGAGCTGACCAAATTGTGGATCCATACTCTAGCTTTGTTAGAACAAGAGCTTTTTACAAGGACACAAGAGAGTAAGGGGTGGGTTGAATCCTTTGTGGGTCGTAGGATGAATCCAATCAGAGAGTTTGCTCTTGCAGTAATGTGTGTAATGTGCTCTATTGGATTTAGTGATGGTGTAATAATAACTCCTAGATCTTTAACTTTGGAAAATCTCTTTAGAACAGATTCATTGATTGTGTAGTCGTGAATTAAGAAATCCGAGCTCCATTTAAATTAGATAACTACACATTTGTCCACATTCAACTGCGTCACTTTGTTTTTGCACCAGGCTTCAATGTTGCTGAGAGAGTTTTGGAGATGAATTTTATCGCAGTCCCCTGATATCCTGCTAATCAGCAAACATTAGGAAATTTGAACCTATTACAAACTTTATGTCATTTATATATAGGCTAAAGAGCTAAAGAGAAACGGGAAAAGGTGAGACCCTTGAGGAACACCACACAATTCTTTAAATGGCTGTGATGAACTGCCATCGCACTTAACAATAAGATGTCTTCCCTTCAGATAACTATCATCTATCCATTTAAACAGGGAGCCACGCATACCATAGCCGCTAAGCTTTGCTATCAGAAGGCAATGATTGACTTTGTCAAAAGCCTTTGGCAAGTCAAGATAAATGCAGTCAACTTGGCAGGAGTCTACGAAGGCAGACATGATAACATCTTGAAATTCGAGTAGGTTGGAGATGGTGGATCAAGAGCGTAGGAAACCATGTTGCTCAGGAGAGATGCACTTTTGCAAGTTAACGTAAAGAAAATCCAGAACGATGCTCTCAAAGACCTTCGCTACTGCATACAAAATGACTATGGGTCTGTAGTTTATAGCATCATTCTGATCGCCTAACTTGAAGGTGGGGACGACAAATTCTTTTTTAAGACTATCAGGAAACACTCAAGTAAGTGCTCAGCAGAGCCTAGAATAGTATAAATAGGTGGGGTGCAAGAACAGGTGCACAGTGTTTAAGTATGAGAGGAGGAATATTGTCTGGCCCTGGACCTTTGTTAGGATCGAGATTTTCGAGCCTATGCAGCCCATCCATTGAAGAAAATGGGCACAGAGAGATGCTGAAGTTCCAACCAAAGTGAAAGGAAGGGACAATAGGGGATGTTTCACTTAAGACGGATGAAAAGTGATCTGCAAATAGCTCACATGTATCCTCTGAAGACTTGGCCACCCTTGAGCCAAGGACCATATTTGATGGGATTGTTGGACTGTGTTTAAGACTGCCAACATGGGACCAGAAGGATTTTATGTTCCTTGGAATATTGTCTTCCACCTTTCTAATAGTCTTCCACCTGTAATCAGAATAATCAGAATGGCCGGATCCTGGCCATGTCTTTACATCTTCTGCTCATCTGTCTGAATGCCTCGAAAGTGATTAATGCTGAGTGATGATTTGTATAGCTTAAAGGCAATTTTCTTTTGTATCACGAGTTGTTTGAGATCCTTCAAAAACCACTTAGGAAAAGCTGCATTATCTCTTTTCACTGGGGTGTTAGCACTGACATCAAATGCAGGTACCACAGCTGATGAGGGATCCAACACGGGAAGTTTGCAGTCTGTGGAAAACACCATCAATTTTACATTTACGGTAATCACAGGGAAATCTAACTTTTTTGGGTAGAGTAGTAAATAGTAGATAAATAGGGATGGTGTTTGTCTTCAAGTAACAATGCCTCCTCCGCTGCCACAACTTCACTGAATGAGATGGAAGTCAATACTAGGTCAAGTATATCCCCCGATTGTTAGTAACAGAGTTAATTTGCTTGAGAGAATGTAGGGTAGCCATACTGGTTAAGGAGCTAGATTATTCGGGTCAGTAGCATTTACAGCTTCAGGAAGGTTCAAGTCACACAACAAAATAATTTTTTTCTGGATTCCAGAGCAAATGATAGCCTCGTCTACAACATTGCAGAAGTCGGAGTAGACAGATGTTATAATGACAGTTTATTAGATTAAAGCTCTATAAAACAAGATCATCCTTGATATAGGAGCATCAAATATAGTTAATTACCAACGTTGATTTGCTTAGAATTTACTAGTCAATTAGACTGGAACTTTGGAATGTACTCAATTTTTCTGGCCAAATATAAAACACTCAAATTGTCTCAAAGGGCATCAAGTAAACTTGAGATATTACGAGATACTAGACGAAAAATTGGAATCTTTGACCCCAATGGTACAACTGTGTGCTATATTTTGTGGTAATATTGGTCTGAGTGAATTCATGAAGAGGTGACCTCTCAAAAATGAGTCGGTGCAGAGGTGATTTTTAAATCTTTATCTGTTGGGAAAGAAGTTTTTATAAGATAATTTGAAACAAATTTTTGGGAGTCAGACCCCCCATGCTCGATAGCTCAACTAGTTGAATAAATAATGTCTATGAATAAATTAGAAGGGAATAAGCTATTACCGTAGGTCTCATGGTAAGACCTGGACCCGGCACCGATTTACTTTTTCGTTTTGATGTCACCAGAGGCCAAAAACAACTTTAGTTCAAATTTATATACAGGGTTAGGCAAAATTCTGGAACCCCCCAGGTAACTTTTTAACGCGTTGCAGTAGGAAAACCAAACTCTGCACATATTTACAACATTAGAAATTGCTCTTTTTTGTCAATGTTACAACTTTGCCCCAGCCCCATGGGGTATTTTGGGGACAGCCCCTAGTTTTCAAATGTAAACACCTATCATGTGAGTTAAATATCGCACCCCTAATCAAAATGGCAGCCATTTTAATTATTTAAGATGAGCAAGCAAGATAAAGTCTGGACACCCCCAAGTTAACTTAAAAAATTTAGTATTTTAATACTGACCAAAAGGTGAATTCTCTTTTTTTTTATAAAGGTATGCTGAGTCTAGTTTTCCTGCTATAACCTGTTAAAAAGTTAATAGGGGATATTTAAAATGACTGCCATTTTGATTAGGGGTGCGATATTGACCTCTAGTTTGCGCCATTTAATTTGTCTTGAGAAACCCTTTAAAATGAGGGGTCTCATGATAGGTATTTACGTTTGAAAATTTGGGGCTGCCCCCAAAATACCCCATTTTGGGGGCCGGGTACAAGTTCTAAATTTAACGAAAAAGTGCATTTTTTATGTTATAAAAATATGTGCCAAGTTTGGTTTTCCCACTGCCACATGTTATAAAGTTAACTTGGGGTGTCTAGACTTTATCTTGCTAGCTCATCTTAAATTAAAATGGCTGCCATTTTGATTAAGGGTGCAATATTGACCTCTGGTTTGCGTCATTCAATTTCTCTTGATAAACCCTTTACAATGAGGGGTCACATGATAGGGGTTTACATTTGAAAATTTGGGGCTGCCCCCAAAATACCTCATTTTGGGGGCTGGGGTAAAATTGTAACTTTGATGAAAAAGTGCAATTTCTAATGTTATAAATATGTGCCGAGTTTGGTCTTCCTACTGCAACACGTTAAAAAGTTAACTGGGGGGTTCCAGACTTTTGCCTAACCTTGTATTCATATACAGGGTGTTCAAAAAAGGTGGGGACATATTTTACCTAGTGATTCCTTGGGTCAAAATAAAGAGAAAATCAAGAATAACATTTTTTCCAAAATCGCTTCGTTTACCAGATATCCGCCATTTTGTATTTTTTACATACATTTTTATCTTTTAATATTTTCAACCGATCTTTATGAAACTTAGTATGTATGTCAAAATAGAAGATACCCGTGTTAAAAAAAAAAAACTCATCTTGATTCAACCTAAAATTTCAATATGGCAGCCATTTTAATTCTTTAAGCTTAAATTACTCAAAAACGGCTAATTTTATAGAAAAATGCCTAGAACACTTTTATTTAGAATTTTTTATTCCCTATCAAACGATACCAAGTTCAAAAAGATTGAATAAGAAATAGCTGAAATATTACAATTTTTAGTTGTAAAATTGGGTAGAATAAGGCAGAAGATAGTCAGGTTTGCCCCATTCAATCAAGATGTAATCAAGATGATTTTTTTCTAACATGGTTCTCTTCTACCTTAACATACATACCAAGTTTCATAAAGATCGGTCTAAACAATCCAAAGATAAAAATGTATATGTAAAAAATACAAAATGGCGGATATCTGGCTAACAAAGTGATTTCGGAAAGAATGTTATTCTTGATTTTCTCTTTAAACTCAAGGAATCATTACATTAATTATGTCCCCACCTTTTTTGATCACCCTGTATATATATGTCCGTTAGCACGATAACTCGAGCAAAAATTATCCGATTTCTATGAAGTTTGGTACAAACGTGTAAACCTACATTTATTCAAATGAGTTCGCGAACCAGTATGATCGGACCATGGGAACGAGGTTTTGTGGGGGGTTTTATGGGGTAAAGATTGGTTTTTCTCGTTTTTGACCCTCAAAACATAAAATTTCCCAATTTCTCTCAAGACCATTTTGAAGAGCTTAAAAAAAACAAATAATTTAGTATATTGAAGTGTTTTTGTATGGTTATTAGTTACAGATAAAATTGTAAATTTAAAATTCCCATGTTATTCTTATGGAAAATAAGTCAACTGTTGAAGTTTGCTTGTTTATGGATATATTTTTGGCAAATCTATTTATTTTATATTAAGCTATTAATGTTTTACAAAAAAAAAAACACACTTTATTACCAAAGGCATCCCACAGTATCCCTAAAGGCAGAAAACCAAGGTACTCGTTAAACCTAATGTTATTGAAATAGATTTAATTGAAAATCAAATCAGGCAAATGGAAATTCGCTTAGTCTGCAGGTTTGCTGCAGCGTGGTATTTTTAGATCTTTTGATTCAACTTTTTAATTAAATCCTCCACTCTTTCTGCAAGTTCCTCAAAATCATTGTAGTCAAACTATTAATGGAAATGAATTTAAATGTTACTTGCCCCTTTCAAACTATAACCCAAGTGGATACAATCATCATTTTCCAAAATGTATTAAAAACTAAATAACTTTTTGATCAGCATTGTGCGTGTTATTAAATTACCTGAAAATACAAAAAAATACATTTAATAACACTTGTAATAATACACTTTTTACACTTATACTGTTGACTCACAAAACAGTAAATAAATACATATACCTTAAAGATGTATTTACCGTCTTGTGAGTCAACAATATAAGTGTAAATATAATATTCCTTGTATTATAAAAAAACTGTAATATGTATCCCTTTATAACACAAGGTCTAATGGAGAATTGCATTAATTGTTTGGTTTAGAAGGAAACATTATACTATTCATTACAACAATACCTTCTGCAATTTCATTTGTCGGGAGTTGTGACTCATTTTATCCTCACCCGGCATTATCAGGCATTCCAGCACTGGTGTTCTGTTCAACAAACAAAAATGTAAAATATACAACACGTTTTTAAATAGAAAAAATATGCATTAAAAATGGACAGGTAATTTAAGTTGAATTTAATATTTTTTTCCTTTTATACAGGCTGGAAAAAAAGTCCCGGAACAGTTAAAATATTTCAAAAGTAATAAATATAGAGCTTCAAAACTTGGTACAGGGGATGGCCCGCTAGGAGTCAGAAGAAAATCTTAAATGGAAGCATAGGTTGATATGCACATCAAATTAATAAAGGCCTTTACTAGTAAAATACAATGCCGCAAATTTGAACTCAAACGGACAACCGAGTCAAAAATGGCAGCTGTTCAAAGATTTCTGAAATCTGCTGTTTTCAATCTTTGAACAGCTGCCATTTTTTTACTCAGTCATTACTTGAGCTCAAATTTGCGGCATTGTATTCTACTAATAAAGCCCTTTAATTTGATCTACATATCAACCTATGCATACCTTTTTGATTTTCTTCCGACTTCTAAAGGTTTGGGTAGGCCTATATCAATATCATTATATTTTTCTTTCAAGAAAGCTTTGTTTACTAATGGAATTTAAATCTATTGTGACTACTGATTATATAGAAAAAATATGATTTTATTGTTGAATTTAGCATAACATTTAACATTATTTAATTATTTAGACAGGAAATTTTGGCAAAACTTGTTTTAGTAGAAGTGTTGTAACGAGCTGTTTATATGCTTTAGTTGATGTTTAGACTTGCTAAGTCATCAATTACCGTAAGAATTATATTCTTACATCATGTTAGAGGAAGGGTTATTTCATCAATAAATGGAGGAAACCAGTTGCAATCCTTATACCAATCTCAATGTGTACTAAACCTATATAAAGACATGTTTTAGTACTTACGACAGTTCACCTGTGGTACTTAGTCAGTTTTGATTTGTTTACAGGTCTTCCGAGCAGTGTCGTGCCTGATACTCTAAACAGGCATGCACTGCAAGGCACCTTGCCTACAGAACCCAGCAACTACGTGGTACCCACTATGGGGTTACCCATACTGCCTTCACTGCCTCCACAGCTTCCTCTAATACCTGTAAGTACCACTGTTCAACTCCACATCAGCAAACCTGCAGACTAAGCAAATTTCCATTTGCCAGATTGGCTTTTACTAGGATATTTCCTTAAACTTTTAAGATGTATTCCTATTTAAAAAAAAAAACATTAGTTTTACTAGTAATAAGGTTTGCTGCTAAAATAAAACACCGGACTAAGGACAAGACTAAACACAAGTTTCACAATGTTTTGGGATCTTAAACCCAGGTAGTCAATGAAACTTGATCATGTAGCTCTTAAGCTTTGAGGTTGTGATCTTTTGTTTTAAGTGAACAGTGTTGATTGCCTATTTAGTTTTCAGCTTTTTTCTTCTTTTAACTTTTTGAAATTTTATTATCGTAAACGTTTGTTGTTTCCAGCTACTGTGTTTCCCAGTGCTGCTCAGTTTGTGTACTAATTTTGTCATGTTCAAGGTTCCTAATCACATGGTTAAGATTATGATCCAGATCAATTCAATTCAATTCAATTCAAACTTCTTAATTCATTATTTTGTACAATATATACATTGAAACATTCAAAACATCCCAAAACATCCCAAAACATTCAGTTGAATAGTACACAACAACTGTTTATGTTTAGTAATAACCAGTGTTTGTTTGGTAGTTGAATAGTATTCCCTGTAGATGCATAGCTGTTATGCATCCGAAACATCAGCATCTAGTTTAACTTATTCAATGATTTGGTCATCACTCGAAGACCTAGATTTGACAATCTACTTGAGACTTATGACTTATGAAGACTATCATCTAGATTCAGATCCTAAAACATTGTGAAACATGTGTTTTACTAACCAGTAATCAGTGATGGAAAATATCCACAGTAATCCTTTAAATAATGTAAAATTAAATTACCATCACAAATGATAAATATTTTTATTTGTTGTTTCCTTTTTGACATATTGGGAACGGTTGTAAAAATCATGTACCGGGTAATCTGTTTGTTGTGGAGAGAATTGCATATAAATATTTAATTATCTAATGTTAAAATAGTTTACCTAGTTATAGTTTTAGCCTTTTCAGTTCAGTTCTTACAATTGAAAAGATTCACTTTACAGCATTGTTTACTTACTCTACAGCATTGTTTTTTTTTGTTTTTTTTGTACTTACAACACCAGTAGGATTGAGAGAAAAGGATTAAAATTGTAATGGTTTGATTAAAATTGTAATGCTTTGTGCGTCAACTTATCAACTGTTAAGACCAATTTAATTGTTAATGAGTGGTTGGTACAATGAGTTGTTGGAGTTGTTGCATCTCTATCAGTGGCAATGAGAGGTTATAAAAAAAAAAAATAACCTCTCTTAGAAGTTATGAGTAGTGATTTGTTAGTGCTGTAATATAAAAACGGTCGTAGGTCAAGTAGTGTACGCAACTCGCGTAAATAGTCTTTACGACACTTGCAGAAGTTTTTGTGGCACTCACCTAGGCTCGTGTCGTAGGCTCGTGTCGTAGGCTCGACTATCTTTACGTGATCGTTGCGTAAACTACTATTGAAATACATTTAGTGAAGAACTATTTATTTGACAAATATACAGTACAGTAGAACCACGGTTAACCAAAATAAAGAGGGGGGGAGCTGTTTCGGATAACCAATTTTTCGGTTAACCCGTCATATGCTAAATATAGTCTACGTATTACCATGGTGAGTTCGTAAAATGAATTTAAAACAATAACTATATAATACAGTGTTTCATTTCAGCTACAAAAATGTTACAATGGGTTAGAAAAGCCCCTTTCTAGTGAGAGGGCCTCGGCACTATGCCTCGCTGTTTACATATTACGTATTGTACTTATATTTTAGCCATGTATTAATTTGTGGAACTGTTTCGGTTAACCAGGGTTCTACTGTACTATTTAACAGTAGATATGTTATAGAGTAATGATTAATTGTGTTGTTTACAGCAATCGATGCAGCCTTTCCAATTCCTAGCATCAGGATCCCAGCAGCTTCTGCCACACACACAGCAGGTTCTAGTGCCACACACAGGACGACTGATGCCTCAGATTCCTACCATTGTCACCTCTCAGTATGAGCTAGAGAGTAAGTAGCAGCATCAGAGATTTGGGAATTGTGTCTGCTGCTTATTTTAATGACCAAGTTTTATCCTGTAAGAATTATCTATTAAGTGGAAGGTAGTTTGCATCTCTGTCTGCTGAGTGCTGGATGTATCATAATTTAATTTACTGACTAGGTTGTATTGGAATATATCGGGTTTATACTATTTTGAACTATACAGGGTGGCTGAAAAGTAACTTACAACCCCCCCCCCCCCCCCTTAACTTTTCAACCATTTGAGATATTTGAAATCTGTTTGCGGCAACCTTCTTAGGTATGACGGGCTACAATAATTATGGTCAATTTTGAAAATTTTGCCCTTCGGGGTAGCGGTGGTAGGGAATAGATCAAAATCTTCAAATGACTAATATAGTCAAGTTTGGTATCATTTTACAGGTCGTGACGAATAAAGAAAACCAAAATCGGCTTACTAATAACAAAATGGGGCCTTAAAATGTTTCAAATCCAAAAAACCATGAGGGTAGCTGAATATTAACTTGCACTACCTTTAACTTTTTAACTATTTGAGATATTTGAAATCGGTTTGAGGCAACTTGTTTGTATATAAGGGGCCACAATAATTATGGTCAGTTTTGAAAATTTTGCCCTTACGGATAGCGGGTAGCTCAAAATGTCTTAATAGCAAGTATAGTCGAGTTTGGTACCATTTTACAGGTCTTAACGAAACATAACAATTATTATAAAGAAAATAGAAATCGGACCATTAATAACAAAATGGCAGCTAAAAATGATTAAGCCAATGGTTATTAAAAGTAATGTTGAACGACAGAGTCTGCTTCCTGCCATGTCCACGGCAGTGCGTGTAATTGATAGGCCTATCATTTTCGTTTTTATGTTTTGTAAAATGTGTGTTTTATTTATTTATTCTGACGAACATCAAGTGGATCCTTTTGTTTGCCTGACGATGGCGGAGATCAGTAAATAACCGCCGAAACATATGTAGCAATTTCGACACTACATGTTAAGGATTGTCTGACGAGGTATGTTTTAACCATTATATGTCATATTACGCAATCCTGGGGCTATGAAAATGAATTTAAATTGTTATGTTTCATCAAGACCAGTAAATTGATATCAAACTCGACTATACTTGCAAATTGAAAATTTTGAGCTACCCCCACCCCTGCTAGGTACCCCTAAGGGTAAATTTTCAAAACTGACCATAATTATTGTAGCTCTTCATACCTAAGAAGGTTACTGCAAACATATTTCAAATATCTCAAATGGTTGAAAAGTTAAGGAGTAAGTTACTTTTGAGTCACCCTGTATAAATTATCTATGGAATATATTTTTCATAGTTCCGTTAAATATGCTTAACATAATTCTAGGATATCAAAAACCCCTCTGTGACAGCAAACCTGCAGACAATGTAAATTTCTGTTTACCTGGTTGGATTTTGGCTTAGATTTTAATTGTCAGATTTTTTTTTCATATAAAATGCAAAATCTTTTGTTCTGAGGGTCGTAAATGGTAAAACCTTACCTTATAAACTCCCCATAAAATCCCATCATGCTCGGGAACTCATGTGAATAAATGTAGGTTTACAAATTGGTACCATATTTCATCAAAAATTATAATTTTAATCAAAATTATCGTGCAAATGGACACATTAAATGTGTATATGTTTTTGGCATCTGGAGACATCAAAAAGAAAAAGTAAATCAGTTCCGGGTCTTGGTCTTACCATAAGACTTGGGGTAAAAGGTTATTCTAAATATGTTTAATTCGCTAATATTTCCTAAATGGGAAATTCTGTATACAAAAATAGTTACTAAAATATTGTAATGCCAAACAATCCTAATTCTCAAAAACAAAACTTCTTTTGTTTCCTACATTGTTTCTTTGTATCATTTAGCTCTGGAAACGGGCTGGAAATTTGGCCTTGAGCTGTTACAAATGTTTGGAAATGAGAAAATATTATTTTTATACATAGAAATAGAAACCGTTAAGATACAAACAATTAGAATACAACAAAATAATTCCTAAGACATATCAAAGAATGTTCAATGCTTTTTGCAGGCAGAAACAACTTTTTAAATGGTAACCTACCATCAGGAGTGTTCAACACTTTAGCGGACCAACAGCAATCACAGGATAAAGTGGATATGCTGGATATACCAGGGAAGGGCCGGTGCTATGTATATATTGCTAGGTATGTATGAACAACTTTGGCTAAGAAAGGAAATTATTTTACAAGTAATTATGAACACAGTTAGGTACTATTTCATTTGATCTTTTATCCTATTTGATTTGTGCCAATGCCAGTAGTATTTTAATGAAAGTATCACAAACGCTTATTATTATTATGGAAAGTGGTTCAAACTCCTAAAAGTTTTGTTGATATGACGGCAATTGAAGCCATCCCTCTCATACTGAAGTTCAAGACGCATCATTTATGACAAATAATCACCACAACATACCTTGTCAGACAATCCTTAATAAACAGAGTGTGACATATATTTTTTGTATGAGTCAAAATAAACTAATGTAGTCAAAAAATGTTTGCCATTGTTCGGCTCGCCATAAAATGTGTACCTTTTAATTAATTGGGAATAGAATAGGGTGTCATCGTGTTGCTCTACAGTTACCAGTGTTGGATGGTATCGTTTTGTGATTTTAATATCGGCTATTATCAGATAAAATTGCGTCGGAGATCGTGTAGTGTACGTTTGGTGGCTGAAGAGCGACTGACTGGTCAGGGTGCTTCTCGACAGCACTCTCTTACCGACCCTAGCATCAGGGTTGAGAACTACGGTTATTCCACAATGACATCCAGCGTTAGCTGCGGCCTTTGTGTGAACCAAATGAATGTATTTGGGATGATCGTAAAACATTACCGCCCATTAAAATTTGTCCCTTTACAAGAGTTTTGTAAGAACTTGCTACATATGTATATATGTAGTATCTATACATTAATTAGGTAAGGCGATTCTTTGCGTCAAAACTGTAGGCGACTGGGAAGTCGTAGGACGACAGGAGAGGACTCGAATTAAAGGTCTCGATCCATTGACGTCAGGAAAAATAGTGAAATTCCCAAAATAGATATAATACAATTTTCTCCATATAGTCGGAGAAATATAGGATATGACCTTAAAAAAATTGCAAGAAAACGTTTTATGGTTTTATTTTGTAGAGTTGGGTTTGCAGAATGACATACTAAAAGTTGCCAAAAATCGGTGCACGAGAAAACCACTAAAATCACAATTTAAAATGGCGGATTTTTCCAACATTGGACAAATTAAAAAAACATATTTCACATGCATTTGTTTTGCACATTTTTCGAGATATTGACTTGGGACCACCATTTGTATTTATTGGGTGGTTAGGACTTCATTTTGATAGGGAACGCGTTTTTGGCCGCCATCTTGGATTCGCCATATTGGACATAGATAATTTTTTTTCAATGTAACGATAGTGTTGTGACACATCATTACCAACTACATTTTTACACTGATTTCAATGCCGAAATCCGTTTTTAAATATCTTTATTAATTTAGAAGATATATTCAAACGAAAACTCTCCACCGTACATTTATTATGAACGTTTCGTAGTTTGATAATTAAAAACAATTTCTTATGTCTACAGTTCTTATTAACGCTTGTAGTTCGTTCTAGGCTTAAAATATTCAGTAATGTAAGGGCTTTCATTTGAGCTCTTGATCATTAAAATCAGACGAGTTAAAAACCAGCTACGAAGAACCTCAGAACAATATTAAATTTAACTTTTTAGAAATATATTTTTATTAAAAGATTCATAACTCGGGTTGTTAATGTGTCACCAAGTTCTTTCTGGTCTCAAGTTACTCAGTAAATCTTTGGCTTTAATTTTATTAATCATTAAACAAAATCTGACAATTTTGAAATGAGTCGTGGATCTTAATTTAACATTAAAATGTATTAATTTTTAAATTCGTCTTTAGTTAAGGACGTATATCCCCAATTCTAAATAACCCCCAAAACTCTTTATAGTCTTAAATAATTCGTAACATTATTGACTTTTATTTTGGCTATGGATTATTTATTGGGAGTTATTAGGGTTTGGGATATATGTCCTTAACTGAAGACAAATTTCTTAAAAGAAATAATTTACTGTTAAATGAAGATTCATGACTCATTTTAAATAATTCAGATTTTATTTAGTGATTAATAAATTCAAAGCCAAACATGTACTGAATAATTTGAGACCAGAAAGAACTTGCTGACGTATTAACAACCCGAGTTATAAATCTTTTAATAAAAATATATTTCTAGAAAAGTTAAATTTAATATTGTTCTGAGGTTTGTAGCTGGTCTTTAACTCGTCTGATTTTAATGATCAAGAGCTCAAATGAAAGCCCTTACATTACTGAATATTTTAAGCCTAGAACGAACTACAAGCGTTAATAAGAACTGGAGATATAAGAAAAATAATTATAAAAAAATTATCAAACTACGAAACGTCCATAAGAAATGTATGGTGGAGAGTTTTCGTTTGAATATATCTTCTATAGGAAAAAAGATATTTAAAAACGGATTTCGGCATTGAAATCAGTGTAAAAATGTAGTTGGTACTGATGTGTCACAACACTATCATTATATTGAAAAAAATTATCTATGTCCAATATGGCGGATCCAAGATGTCGGCCAAAAACGTGTTCCCTATCAAAATGAAGTACTAACCACCCAAAAAATACAGGTGGTGGTCCCAAGTCAATATCTCGAAAAATTTGCATAACAAATGCATGTGAAATATGTTTTTTTTTTATTTGTCCAATGTTGGAAAAAGCCGCCATTTTAAATTGTGATTTTAGTGGTTTTCTCGTGCACAGATTTTTGGCAACTTTTAGTATGTCATTCTGCAAACCCAACACTACAAAATAAAACCATAAAACGTTTTCTTGCAATTTTTTTAACGATCCCTGTGTAAGTTTTTTTTAGTTTGCTTGGACTAATAAGAAAAGCATGATAAGCCATTTACTGCTGATTTTTGTTTACTTCAATACAGCTGATTGTGATTTATCACTAAGCCTGTGCGCAATATTGACATTTGGATGACTTATTTGCCAGTCAATTTTGCAATCTACTGTATACTATATAAAACCAGGGATAACGTTACCTATAATTTTTAAGACTTGTTAGTTACTTCTTAGAATGTTGAAATAAATTATTTTACTGTGAAACCTTTCAAATTTGTATATTTTTAAGCGTATGATAAGTAGTAGAATCATGGGAGTAGGCTCAAATCAAAAGAATTTGACTTAGAATGGGTGAATAAACTATAAAGATTTTTCTTCTAATTTAAAGGTTATTGTTATGTTGAAGGAATGTTTAACATGAAATAACCACATTGACTAAATAATTAACGATTCAACCTTAAATGGAGAACTGCTTTGTTTCAAAACATACGCTCAAGATTTATTATAACTTTCTTTGTAAATTTTATATCATTTTTAATTTGTGATTTATTATAGTGTTTGTTTAATCAAATTTTTTTTTAAGTGAAATAACCTCAATGGCTACTCTTAGAAAATAACCTGGGAATAAAGATGAAATAGGTTCATACAATAATTGATGATTAAGCCTATTTTGATAGAATATGTAAAGTCAATCGCACCTTATGATGAATACCACCACATAAACTTACACTAATTGTAGTTTTTTTTTATGCTTATCAGAAACAAATCTAGGGTTAGGTTTGGTGCCTTTACTTACACTAATTTTGTTAAACCTTTAAAAGGAGTATAAACTTAGAAATAATAACTGGGTCAGGATGCTTTAGCGGTTTTGACCAAGAACTAAGCTTATCTCAACACACCTTTATTTGCCTTTTCATATTTGACGAAGACAATTTCCAAAATTCCAATCAGGGAAGCCTTTTTTATCATAATTAACCACAAGACCAAACACCACAGCTACCTTAGTAAACCAGTATTTATTCACAAACAGTTATATGTTTGCTGCCTTTAACAGAGTTAAACCTCTGGAGTGATTCAAATTATTTATAAAAAATAACATCAACAAAAGCAAACAAAGACAAACAAAAAACTTTTTTACACAAAAGATATGGTGTACATGGATATCTATTCTGACACATAGGCCTAGATAAAATAATTCTGAGTTTGTTTAAATATTACAATAATTTGTTTTACATTTGAGCTTTTTAGGGACTTATGTCCCTACAAGCAACTAGTATATGTAGTATATATGTAGGTGTATGCAGTATATATGTAGTATTAATGTATGTGTGTAGGGGAAGGAAGAAGAACTAGGTAAGGATAAAATCGTTTTCTGACCAGCTTCTTCAGCTTTTTTACACATTACTTGATTGATTTCATTTCTTTGACATTTTAAGTACCATTGTAAATTTTCAATTAATAAGTGGAAAGAAAGATTTTTAACAAATAATTCACCCAGGAAAAACTTTTCAATTAGTGAAGAAAGAAATTCTCAATACATGACTACTCAAGTGGCTGGTTAACCTTCCGTCGGGCGCATTGATTTTCAAACACCAAAGGGCGCTCACGGAAGTTACCTCCGGGAATACAAACATTATACAATGATGAGTAAAAAACATTTTAATAGCAATAAAACTGTAAAAAAAACATTTTTTATGAGTTATTACACTATTACTTAAGTAGTATATCAAATAGCAAATGTTATAAAAACAAAAAAAAATAAAAATACGTAAGTGTTGTGGATAAAAAAGATTTACTTTTTGTACTTATACAGTACTATCGTATATTAGAAAACAAATTTGAATATTGTATGACATAAAACACGTACACGGTCTAATAAAAATAATAATTTTGTACAAGGACAACTCATTCAATCAAAGCTCTTAGACAAAAATTGCATCAGTGTATGACATAAAAACACCTATGGTATTATGAAAAAAGATAATTATTTCATAAGGACAACTTACTTAGTCAAAGCTCTTTAGAAAAAATTGCAATGGTGTTTGAAAAAAAACAACCTATTGTCTAATGCTAAAAGTCATTTGTTACAAAGACCACACATTTTGTCAAAGCTCTTTTTCTTGAAAAAAAAGCTTACCGAACTCACGCACCATTAGTTCTTTCTTCTAAATGTTGTTCCTTGTCCTCCCTTTCAACACTAGCCAACAATCTCGCAATTAGTTCTTCTTCATCCATTTTATAATATCACTAAATACGGTCAAACACAAGGGCACACACGGAACTAGGCTCCGGGAAACCCGTTGCATCACAGGGCGCTCATGGAAGCTACTTCCAGTAGTGACGCGAACCACTCCCCAAGGTCGACTGACAACTGGGAAAGGGGTAAGAGTATACGAAACCGACTCCGCAAAAGTGGTTCGTGAGGTCCACAGCCCTGCCGAACACATACTATGGTTTTTATAACGAAAAAAGTAGTGACCCGGAGGTAACTTCCGTGATACACCCGATGGAAGGTTAAACATAGTGATACTACTTGGGAACTTTGGGAAAGGCTAATTTAAAAACAAGAGGTTCTAGATAGGTATTTATTAGTTTTTTAGACAATATAAGACTGCTAGAGTTATAAACTATTTCAAAACTGTAATTAGACTAGGAAAATAAATCAATAGACTGGTTATTTAATGCTTCAAGTAGTTTGTCAAGATGGTGGACTCTCCCAAGTTTCAATAGTGTTCATGAATAGTCTGTGCACATCCCAACAGACCTGCAACGCATCATATGGTATTCATTACTTTACTAGAGACCTGAGAGTACAGTTTTGCCCATTCCGATAGACTTTTAGGTCAAGTAGGTACACTTCCCAATAGACCTCCTAGAAAATCCAATAAAAAAAAAGTAAAAACACTTGTGTTTTATTTTGTCTTTTATTTTATTTTATTTTGGGTGAAGTAGAGTATGAGTATAGAGGTCTGCACCATTTCCAATAGACCTACAAGAAGATTGGGGTATTGTTTTTATATTTTTATGCAGTGAATTGAGTAGCTGTGTCGGTAAGGTAGACACAGATTGTTCAGCTGTAATTGATTTTTGCATTGAGAATACAGTTCTTTGTTTTTAATGACTATTTGAGTATAAATCATGTCTAAGGAAGAAAATTGCTTTGTAAATAATCTAGTCTTTGTAAAAGTCAGAGGATACCCTTTCTGGAATGCTAGATTACTGCTGTAGATGAAACTTGTAACAATACTAACATGATACATGATACATGATACATGATACATGATACATGATCTCTCCGTCCGTAGTCCTTTGCCTTAAGGAATTGGACAGGTCAGGGTTAATACAAAGAATAACCAAACTTAAATACTAGTTTTTGTCACCGTTAAGGTAACTTATGTCTATGTCATGAAAACTTAACTCCATAGATATTTTTTCAATTCTAATTTGAATTTTGTTAACCTCTGAATTTCAAGTAATTTTTTCGGTAGGGCCTGGTACAATTTCATTCCCATGTAATCTGGTTTGTGTAAAAATGTTGTGAGTTTATGTTGGACTCCATGTGTGCCCTTTGTTCGGGTGTTGTAAACGTGATTTGTAAAAGTTGGTTTAATGTTCTGTGATTTTATATAGCAAACTGATTCAAAGATGAAAAGTGAATGGACTGTGAGAAAGCCAAGTTCTTTAAAAACATTTTTGCAGCTGGTCCGAGGCGGCATGCCCAAGATTGCTCTAACTGCTTTGTTCTGCCAAACAAAGATCTGCTCAATATTTTTATTCACAGCTCCCCATAGGATGATTGAATACGAAATGTGTTGTTCTATTAGGCCAAAATACACAAGTTTAGAGAGAGAGCCAGGTTTCCGAAGGTCCTTATTCTTCGAAGTGTAATATTTCATGTCATTTCATTCATTATTTAGTACCTATTAAGTTTCTTAAAATGTTAACTTCTATTCCTACACCTTTGTTAATAATCACTCCTCAGAAAGTCTGGCCTAATATTCATTTCCCTAATTTATATAATTTCATTAATCTGTTTAATTAATCATTAATAATATTCATTCCATAGCCTATATATTTTTTTTTTTTTACAAAGCCCACAACCTAATTATTTATTAAACATGTAAGAGAATTGCAATACATCAAAATTTCTTATAATATCATTTCAAAATTAGTCCTTAAGGAATCAAAATTTAAGAAGCAGTGAAAGTGATCCCATGTGTTCAACAATGAATGATGTGAGCATTAAGATGAAAAGAGAAGGAAGCCATTGAGAAGTTGAAATTGTTAGAAGAAGGAGTCAAAATTTTACCTAAATCAAATTCATTCATCAAGAAGACCAGTTTAAAGTTATATCACAGTAGCCTAAACCTCAAGAGGACTCAACTCCATCATTATCTTCAAATAAGTATAACCTTTTCTTTAAATTCTTTTAAATTTCGTGCTAATTGGACTTACCTTTTGGACAACACCAAAATTAGATTTTTCATTGTTGGGATTGTGTAAGTTTAACACCTTAATTAGGCCTATATTTGGACACTATCAAATTTATTCATTCTTAGCATTCAAGCCAGCACGACACCCTACCCTGAGATATATCACATCTAAATTATTTCAACCTTCAAGTTATTATTCAAATTTATCTTTTATTTCAATTTAATTTCAACCCCACACACCATTGTCAATCCTTTCATTGTAACGTCAAGCCTTTTCTCATTGCATGTTAATTGTTCATTTGTTTAAATAAAACACAAATTGTAATTCATATCTTTGTTAACTTATTAACTTTAAACATTTATAGAATAGGCCTAACCTAAAATGGATATTATAAGGTGAGTTTACAGAAGAACATAAACCCCTCGAGCCAATGACCCCTCCAGTTTTTTTATTTGTGCATCCCAGCTCAATTTATCAATTTACCCCCTTACGAACAATGTTGTATCATCCGCAAAGAGGTAGACGCTGTCCGTATCTGTTATATTATTGATGTAGACTAGGAAAAGCAGAGGTCCAAGGACAGATCCCTGGGGACGCCATTGGAGATCAGTTTTTTTGTTGATGAAATTCTTTCAGTTTTTGAATTTGTGTTTTTTTGAATCTCAGTGACTTGGAATCGGTTGCTCATATAGGATGTGAGCCACTTCAACGCAAGTCCTGAGATTCCAATTGATGCCAATTTTTCCAATAGAATCGCAGGTTCGACACAATCAAAGGCTTTGGAGAGATCAGCAAAACAACCAACTACTATTTCTCCAGCCTCCATTGCATACTGCTGTTGATGAAATAAATGAGTGCCAATTTTGTTGATTTGTTGCGTCTGAATATTTATTTGAATATTATTTCATGTGAATTGATTTGGGACAAATGAAAATGGTTGTGTGGAAAAAATGAAGTCTGTAACTACTCAAAAAATAAATTCAAATATACATCAGAACTAATAGCTAATAGGAACTAGGAGCTACAAAAAAGCTCTGCTAGAGATTGGTAAGGAATATGAGAAATATCCACGATCTACTCCAACCCCCTAACAAGAAAAAGAACTCTTCCAACTTGATGAACCCCACCAATAATAACTCAACCCCAAAAAATTTACATACACCAAACTCCCCTCTTATAAATCAACCGAAAGTAACACCTAAATCAAATTCCATCACAAAAAATGTTGAAACTAGTAGTAGGCCTTCTAAAGACATTGGTCCTGGCTTTCAACGCTTATTATTTTAACGTAATTATTTGAACTCTTTTTGATAGATGCATAGTTTTGGAAACAATTTAAGAACAAGTACAAATAATCCTTCAGTTACTAGAAGAGAACACTGAAGACAAAAAACTGTTACAAAAACAATGAATCTGTCCAAACTTACTTTACCCAATTTGATTTTTTAACGGTTTACAGCTTATACATTTTATAATGCATCATGTATGGCAAAAATAATATAAATCATTTTATTACAAATAAAGATATCCACAGCTATAATTCTAGGAATGAAAATAAAGTAGTATTACCAAATCATAAATTAGAACTATTTTAGAGAAAAACTTCATATAATGGTATCATATTCCTAAATAACATACCAAATCATATAAGGAGCATGCAGGATGAAAGAGGTTTCAAGGTGAAATTAAAAGAACTTTTAATACAGAGGGCACTTTATTCATTTTATGACCTCTTTAACTTTAAATAGTAGATCTTAAATTAGCTTTACCTGAAGCTGATCATGATGATTTTAGCCTTCTTAGTGAATATTGTTATTGTACGTACATCTTAAATATCTTACTTGTTTGACACTATTCATATAATTATGTATTTACAGAGATATGAATAAGGATTTTTTATTTTATTTGATTTTATGTTTTGGCAGTCATTATAATTCCGCCATCAACAGGCTACCAAAAGTATCCACTTCTTGAGGTATCATCAGAGTAAGTCATACACATTTCACAAATAATACAAAAATAAAGACAAAATAGTATGATTACAGTGGCCTATCAATTACCAATGTATACACCACTTTTATGGGTACAGGGGGGCAAAACGGATACTGTATTTCCATCCAAAACTCAAATTAACCCAAAACAATACTTTCTGCATATACTATGTATAGGGTGAGAAAGTAAAATTTAAATTTATTTGAAGGGTTTTCAATACCAAAATTTCAGTTCATGGAGAATTTTGTCCCATAACATGTTTTTGTATTAGAGTGATTAAGCTGTTTCCAATCTGGAATGATGTTGTTATGGTTGCAGATACTCTTACGACCCCTTCTCACAATCGCCCAATGAGTGCCCGGAAGCTGAGTTGGCAGTTAATGCTGGAGACTACCTCCTAGTATGGGGAAACATGGATGAGGTACAATAACTACTGTTGGCCGTAGAATTAAAAAAGATTTTGGTCATTTTGAGCTAATATAGAAAAAAATACAGTATTAGCTCTGATTATAGAACATACATAACATAGTGGTCTCAATTGTTAATAAGTAAACGTACTCAGGTTTACAATAGCTTCTTTAACATGTTCAATTCTAAAATAACAACGGCATACAATCTCCTATGGATAAGCCCCTATCTCCTTAACCTAACCTATACCAAACTCCTATGGCTTTACCAACATGGAAAAGGTATACTTTTTTATACTTTACTTTTACACTTTTCATTAAAATGGCGACAATACAAAGTAGGTATAGGTAGCCAATTATGAATGGAGATGAGTGTAGGTTGAGTGGCGCGATCTTGTAGTCTTGTTAGTGACTAAGGCCCCTATTAGCCGTGAGCAACATGTGGCGCAGCTAGTGGAGCCGCCGGTGGTGACGCCGGTGACCCACAGCGTTTGGAACCTGGACACTAGTCGCGCGACACATTCGTAGCTCGCTCAAACAGCGGAATTCACCACAACACTCTAGTGTCAAACATGACGTTGAGTGACTGCATCCACAATTTGCACGTCACTATTAGCACTAGACATTGTTTATCCAAACTAAAGACAACTAAAAACGCTAATGACACAAAAAGGAAAGAATAAACTGTTAATAAAAAGGTCACTGGTAAACAAAGTGAACAGAAGTCACCAATTAATAGAACAGCAATATGGCGAGGCACATCTTAATCGACTCAAACCATGATGTAGACTGTGTGGCATGCTTCGTTTTCACGTTAATAGCGAATGCGAGCGCAGAATGTGGCATCGCATGTTGCCCACGGCTAATAGGCTCCATATACTGCAATGCCCCCCGACTGCCTGGACACTAAAACGGTCGCGACACATGTTGCCGGGCAAAATCACTCCCGGCAACATCTCGGGCAGCTTTTTCGGCGTCGCCACCGGTCTCCCGGCGGCTAATAGGCACCATTTGACTCCATGCCCCTCTACACGTCCGACACCGGCGGCTCCACTAGCTGCGCCACATGTTGCTCACGGCTAATAGGGGCCTAAGACTGACATATTCCTTAGACATAGCTGTTAATTAATAGCCCATACAGCTAATGGCAACTAAGGGACCTACAGTTTATAGTGGAATCCGAACCATATTTTTGCCTTGGTATTAACAAATTGGTCTAATTACCAGGATAGTACTGCGGATAGTCGTAGTACTCACTAGTGCGGACGTCAATCCACACCAGGGAGTATCACATCCACAGTGCATGCCTATAAATATCCACAATTCCTGACCTCCTAGTAGCTGGATTACAGGACAACGCCACCGTCCCAGTCTAGAGTAGTATAGAGGCTTAAACTGGCGGGGCATAAAGTAACATAACAACCCCTCCCTCGTCATCAGCTATGCTTGAAGAAATGAAAAATTCTTTATTCATCCGGATAAAGTTAGGACTAACCTTCCTTACACTAACCTGACAAACATAAAATATACAAATACATACAATTACAAAGATATAACTTAATCTAATTTATATCTATATATTTAACAAATAATGCACATTTCTTAGAAAAAAAGTAATGCAAATTAAAAAGCACATACAGACACTCACGAGTACACACACCAACAATCGCGCAAAGACACAAAAGGCACACCTAGGGCACGTCTGTTGAGACCATCTGCTCAAAGTAGAGATTTCCCAATGCCTCCACAAACTAGTTTATATATTTTTTTAGAGCAATGGTATGTTGACTTTTATCAACTGCTGGTAGATTAAATATGAAATAATTAAGTTTATCAGCTCAGCTGCTCTGTCAGTGCCAACTTAAGTTGATGTGCACAGTAAACATATTCATTGTTGTTATTGTTATGTGTATAGTGGCTCTATACTAAATTTATAAATTTTTACATCGCCAAAGATAATACCTTTATAATGGGTTTGAATACATCGCTAGTTTTCTGAGCTAATTAATATTCATTACAGTTACAGTTTCTTGCTAAACTCTGATGGAAAAAATGTGCACTCTTTTTATAATATTTTGACGAAAAGAAAAATTTACGGAATGCTTTTAGTACATCAAGAGTGTTGTACAAAATGAGGAAAATGTGTTGTTAACCTACACAAAGGGTTTCAGTAACAGTTAAAACAATTATTTCCAAAAGTTTATAACATTTTTAGTTCATTTACTCATCTAGGTGTATGAGTAGTGGTCAAAATTTGGAAAGAACATAGTAAAAAAATAAGGAATGCGGGTCTATCAGTTTTTAGATTACATGTAAATTACTTCCCGTATCAGTTACTATTTGTGAACGAGAATATCTGATTATAAGATTGATTTTTGCACAGGATGGATTCTACGACGGAGAACTGCTGGATGGTCGCCGTGGGCTTGTGCCTTCCAATTTCATACAAAAGCTGGTTGGAGATGATTTGCTAGAGTTCCACCAATCAGTGATTCAAGGCCTGAGAGATTGTGACGACAGTGCCTCAACCAACATTCCTCAAGATCTGGACTATCATCAACTTAACACAGGTTATTACTTAGATAATCTTTTGTAAGGAATTAGAGACTGAAATCTAATTCGACGTACCTTATCTCCATGTATCGTACCATATTCTTAATTATGAAAAACCTTCACTCTTCATAAGTCATTACTTCCTAATAGTTGAATCCTTTAGAACTCAAAGCTAAGAATACATAGGCAAAAAGATTGATTTTCATCATTCTATATTCCGATTATAGAAATACTATTGTTATTTATATTTACGTCACAATCTCAGTTGTATAGCACACATAAACACAATCTAATTCTTCTAAGACCATAGACTATTGGTGTGTTCTGGTGTATTCTGTCAATTTTGTTCAGGTAATTGAAAGTTTTAATATCCTAAAATGAAAAAAAAACAAATACACTTTAAAACGTACATTGTAGGAATTTAAGTCAAATAGAGATCGCTAAGTAAAATGCAAACGTTATGTATTATGTAAGGTATTATTCTAACTTCAGGCTATCGATTAAATTTACCTTAGTAAAATCACAACTACAACACAAATTCATTTCAACATGCACATATTTCTCCAAAAAAGAATTCAAGCTTCTGAAAGTATCCAATATTTCTTTGCTAGTAAATATAAACAATACCATAAATATAGTGCAATACCTTCATAGACATTGAAATGAGATTCATTTGCTAGCATTCCTTTATACTAGGGTTGGTCGAAGAGGTCTCCAACCAGCTCCCGTCCCGGCCACTTAAGCTAGTTCAAATCTGACACCAACCACATATACTTTTTCAATACATATGTTTAATCTCTAATCCAGCTAGTTCCCACACCTATACATGATTTATGCTTCGGATGAGCATAGATTTTCCTCACATCATTATCAGCTACTACAACAAGACTTATAGTTGCATATGGGTGGGAATCAGGTAGAAAAGTAGTGATTTTAGTCAAGATAACAGCATTTATATTGGATTTGAGCTAGCTTACACGGCTATGACGACAGTTCCTCATTGGAGGTCTTAACAAGGGATAAACATCGTTATTGTTGCTATAAAAATGCATTTGAATTATTTGAATGTCATACCGATTAGGCTATAAAAAACCAATTATAAGTTTTCTTTTTAGTTTCATTCAGTTTTTATTAAAGTTATGAATTCACTGTCCTTTTTTAATTTACAAATCCATTTCCAAACTTTGTAGTATGTGATTAAAATTGTTTTTAAATTTAAATATAATCATTTTAATGTTTTTAAACATAAAAGCTTTTTATTTATACTTTATTAATTAAAACAAAATCTAATTTAAATATATATGACTGACTGCAAACGTACAATGAATGTCTTATCTTAGGCTTCTTTATGTTTTATGCTTAAAAAGTTGATGCATGATTCCTTTTAGACTTCCTAGATGCCATGAACCCAGCAAAACTTTTGTAATATTAGTGGTATATATCCTCGTCCTTGATAATGAGCACTTAAGAACTCTCAGTTGTCAGAATTATCAGATAAACACCAAAATAACATGTAATAGTATATTTCATAACAAGAGTAGAAAGCGAGTCATTACATTTGAGATCATATTTAAAGTGTGAGATTTATCGAGCACTTTAAATGGTCGAGAATATGTATAGACCAACTTTCAATTGTGTTTTGAACATTACTTTTCACTTCACTAAAAAGACTAATATTATTTTCTTAATTAAAACAGACATTGGATATGTCTTTATTACAGTTAAGAACATTACAAACTCATAGCATTTTTTAGGTTATGCCTATGCCATCAATTTAAATTTAATATTTACTTTGGTTGTATAGATGTGGTTGTTGAAAATTGAAACAGTTGACAAAACATTAACAAATCTTTGTTTGTTTACGTCGGCAAAATACAATAGATATAGTAAACAATACTTTCGCATGGTAAACATTCTTATTCCGTAGTAAACAATGTAATAATGGATTTTCGCAGGTGATAAACATGCAAGGAAAACAGGTCATTTCACTGTAGTGTAGCGAAAATAATATTACAGTTTTGTAAAAGTTACTTTTTTAGTAAATTTTCCTTATAAGGAACATTAGAAAATTTCCCATGTAGGTAATACGCCATTACCATAGGTCTCCTCATGTTAAGACCTAGGCCCGGGTCCAATTTACTTTTCTCTTTTTTATGTCCCCAGAGTAAAAAAAAAACATCCGTCCAAATTCATATATAAATACATAACATTCAATCAAAAATAATCCGATTTTCATTAAATTAAGTACAAACATGTAAACCTACGTGTATTCGAACGAGTTTGTAAACTAGCATGATCAAACTATCAGTACGGGGTTTTATGAGGCAACAGTAATTTTTTTCATACTTGACCCTTGAAATATAAAATTTAGCAATGTTTTCAACCCATCATCTAGAGCTTAAAGAAACAAATAATTGTCTACATTGAAACGTTGTTGTACGCTTAATGGTTACAAAGAAAATTCCAAAACAATCTAAATTTAAAATTCTCATGTTGTTCTTATGGAGAATTAGTAAACTGTTTGCTTGGTCATGGATATATTTTGATCAAAATTGGTGAACTTAATTATTTCATAATTAGGGTTGTGGAATTCAAGCCCTTGAATACTACCCCCTCCGCGTTCACAACATCACTATGATATACATATTGTCAAATGTTGTAGTTTGCTTGTTTATGGATATATTTTGATCAAACTTGGCAAATTTATTTATTTTGTACTAAGCTATCAATATTTTACTCAAAAACACACTTTATTAGTTTCCTTGTAGCAGCAAACCTAGGTACTCGTTAAACCTAAAATTATTAAAATATATTTAACTGAAAATCAATTCAGACAAATGGAAATTCGCTTAGTCGGCAGGTTTGCTGCGGCGGGGGTATTTAGATTTTTTTCTGTGTGCAACAAAAGATGTTATTTACTGTAAAATCAAGATTTTTAAATACATTTTACAGACCCATATTTGACTTTATAGGCTCTATATCCATTTTCCAAGATTTCTTGTGTCATAACTGATATGTGTTTTAAGGATTATGTATTTGAATTGTCATCATCATCATATATCTTTCAAGATCATTCATATTGGTCAAAACAACTTAAAGTATAAATATATCAAAAGTAAGTTTTAAACTTTTCAGAAAATTAGTTTTGGAGTATTTTGTTGGAGGAAGATTTCTCATTGACTAGGGATCTCCAACCAAAATGATTTTTTAGTTCTAAATCTATTCACACTACATATTTTTTTCAATTGGCAGTCACTTGACTGCTTTACTTTTGTAATATTCTTTGTATTTAGTGACCATGGTTGTTGTACACTTTTACCTTGTGTATTGTGCACAAGCACACATTGCTGTTATGTGTCATGTGTTATGTGTTGGTGCGTGTGCATGCTGCAATGTTTTTGCAATCAAGGGAGTGCCAAGAGGAAAAACAAGCGAATACCTCCAGGCAATCGTATGTTTTGCATTTATTTCCAACTGTTCACTGTAGTTTCCATCAGCAACCAATTCATGCGCCTCATTTCATTGTTTGTTTTTAGTAATTTATCAGCCATTCTGCTTTATGCACTGCTTCTGGTTTCATAACATTTCTAGTTAATGTTTGAAAATCATTTAAACATGGGTTTTCCAAACATTAATTGAAAATAAAATTAACTCATACATTGATGGATTTCCATGCAGTTATTATTGCTACTAATATATTCATATTAGATAGTTTCACAGACCAACACAAATAATTCTTATAAAATAAACATGACTCACTCAACTATTGTCGACAAAATGTATAGAGTTGTGATAGCTAACACTAGGAAACAATAAGAAAATAACACAAATATTTGAACCTTTCTTTGTCTCCAAATTAAGGAATGAAAGTAGACAAGTAAATGTTTAACTCTTAAACTCTTAACAAGGGTTTCTAAAGAATCTAACTTAAAAAAATAAATGTTTAAAAGACCAATATAGGAAAGCAAATGTAGGTCCAAGCAAGAATCTACATCTTTTACATGACCAGGAACCTTACCATATCTTGTCACCTCTAGGGCAACTGTCCATCAGCAACTACCATTGTAGAAGGATGTTTTTGTGTTGAGGGGTACTAGGTGGTGATTGTAGTTGCTGTGAAGAGCGTCTTTAAGGACAGATTGGTTTTGTTCAGTCGCTTCCCTTGAATGAGATATTTTTTGTACTTATTTGTGTTTCTTCTCTGACTTATGAGAGTGAATTGAGGATGAGAAAGTCTATTATGGAGTATTCCTTAAGCTAGTTGAAACTAAAAAAAAAACACTATGACTGGAGATATGTTATTGTATATGTATATGCGCTGGACATATGAGCGCTCTGAAGCTTTTTGTCTTAAAGTTGTTAGTCAGATCTTTGAAGACAGAGCTATATGCTACCAATTTTTGTTTTCCATTGAAGTGACCTTTGGTTATAATACTACACACCATTGCTTGTATTAGTCTTTTTGCATGCCAAGAAATTCGTCATGCAATCTTTTAAAAAAAGTGGGGTTTCACAAATAGCTTCTAAAAGCCATGACCACACCAGCAGTATTTCTTCTTGAGTGGTGGAAGTAGCCGGAGTTGGTATCGCAAAGGCCAAAAAACTGTCATTCCTTAGCCCCTCAATTACCTTATACATATCTGCAAACCATCATAATGAAAATTGAGAACAAAAGTCACAAACCTTCGTGGACAGGTCGGTTGAAGTCAAGAGGATCGGCGTTATAAATGCACCTAGCATATTAGATCACAGAGGGAAGTCAATTACGGACCACAAGCTTATTTTTTGTGAATTGATCCTAAGAAAAGAACAAAAGAAACCAAAGATGATCAGATATAGGGATTTTTCAAAATTCAATGTTGACCAAGCGGTAAGAGAACTTTCTGAAATAGATTGGAAAAAGATAACGATCTTACAAGGAGTAAATAATATTGAAAATGCATTGACCAATGAAATTAGAAAAGTATATGATAACCACGCACCTATAGTGTGTAAAAGGGTAACCAAGAAAGTAGCTCCGTGGAGAAATGATATAATTAAGAAACTGACGAGGGAAAAAAATAAATTAAGGAATAGATATTGGAAGTCAAGAAGTGATCCTGATTGGCATAAGTATAAGGAAATAAGAAACAGATTGAATTCAATGGTCTGGCATGCGAAAAAAAGGTTTTTTACCAACAAACTGTCGACAACAAACAACAGCAAAGATTTCTGGAAATGTATAAAGAATTGCGAAGTTTATAAGAACAATTGTATAGAAACTATTGACGGTTTTGAAGCTAATGACATTAATGAATATTTTACAAAAATGGGGTCTGGTATCAAGGCTGATGAAGAAATTATTAAATTTTATATGACTAATAAACAAGATGAAACAAGAAACGAATGTCGATTTAGTGCTGTCACCGAAGCAACTGTAAAACTAGTGAGGAATCAAATAAAGTCTAAAGCTGTAGGCAGTGATGAAATATCAATAGACATGTTAAAAGCTGTGAGTCCGTTTGCTATTGAAGCAATCACACATCTTGTAAATGAGTCACTCATCAGTGGAGTATTCCCGAATGCATGGAAGCAAAGTATTGTCAGGCCATTGCCAAAAACAGCTGCACCAACTAAGGTAGAAGATCTTAGACCAATATCAATACTTCCAGCAATATCTAAAATATTAGAGAAAATAGTGATTGACCAGATATCCCAATTTATGAATGACAATAGGCTGCTACCTAAACTACAGTCAGGTTTTAGAAAAAACCACAGCACATGTACAGCTTTGACCAATTTATTCTGTGACATGATTGATGCCAAGGACAAAGGGAAACATAGCTCACTTGTCATGCTTGATTACTCCAAAGCATTTGATTCTATGGACCATAGTATGCTGATTGCAAAAATGAAATATATGGGTTTTAGTGATAGAATCACTACCTGGATTCGCTCTTACCTTATCGACCGAATGCAGGTTACCAGATTGGGTAGTGAAACATCGTATCCCCTCGTCAAAAAACGGGGCGTTCCTCAAGGTAGCTGTTTGGGGCCTGTACTTTACACGCTTTACACAGCTGACTTTCCCAGCTGTGTAAAACATTGTACTGCACACTTGTATGCAGATGATTCCCAGTTGCACTTGTCTTATGAGCCTGGTTACATGAGTGAGGCCATCGACAAGATCAACACTGATCTGGAGAACATCTCCAAATGGTCTAGCATTAATGGGCTTAGGCTAAATCCAGACAAGTGCACTGTACTTCATACTGCCCCTGTGAACCTAGTACAGACACTGAGAGATAATGGCTTGAGCATCAATCTTGATGGCAGGAGTCTGGCAGTCTGTGACAAAGCCAAAACTCTTGGCGTCATTATTGACAGAAATTTGAATTTTAAAGATCACGTCACGCATGTCTCCCAACGAGCAATAGGAAGACTGAGAGGTCTGTACAGGTTCAGAGGTATGCTGCCTGAGGCTGCAAAGCTTCAACTCATGCAGTCACTGATATTGTCAGTAGTCTACTACTGCTTCCCTGCATATGGCAATAGTATCACTAAGGAAGACATGTGCAGAATACAGCGAATTCAAAGCTCAGCAATCAGATTTGTATTCTGCCTAAAAAAATTTGATCATGTATCCCCTTTCCGTGAAGCAGCCGGGATGTTGCCCATGGAAGCCATGTGCAGGTTTTTGACGTGCTGCATGACTCACAGGGTACTGACTCTCCGTGAGCCCGACTATCTTTGCGAGAGGCTTTCTGTCCGGGATGAGGTCATACAACGTAGGACACGTCATGGTGGGAGGCTTCACTTTCCAAGGGTCACCTTGGAATTGGGAAAGAAAAGTTTCTCATATTTCGGACCCACATTGTACAACGGACTACCCGAGAGCCTAAAAACCGTTGCATCCAACAATACCTTTAAGATTAAGATTAAAAAGTTTTTAAAAGATATGCATGTTTAGTTGTAAGTGCAATAGGTTAATGACAAAAGTTGTTCTGAAAAACTGACATGTATCAGAGAAACGCTGGCTAATAAAGACGTTTTTATTTATTTATTTTATTTAAACAAGAACCATTCAAGTTAAAAAATAACAGTGTAAAATATTCTTTTACAGCATTGCTTACCAAAATGATGCTTTTGACATCTCTTTCTTGTATTGCCTTTTTGTTTCCTTTTATAGATATGTTTTCGCAACACTGGACTGATTTGCCCCTATCGAGATGCTCTAGAATGTCGAATCTTTGTTCCATTGTCACAAATATATGTTTACTTATTTCACTCTTTTTAGAAGACATTTTGTAACAGTAAGCCCGCATACAGAGCTCACATTTACTCACAAGTCACAAAATTCACCCCTGTGAACAATCTAATACTGCACAGTAAAAAACATAATGAACATAATGTGTGAAATCACGGATCAAAACACAGTGTTTAACACAACCCTTTACTGTAGGAAAATTGTAACCGATCACGTAGAAGCACCCGTAAACTAAACTACGGAAACTAAAAATTCAAGTTGAATCCTGACAAAGGTCATTCGCTTGTGACAATGTGACTTATCTCCCTGAGACCAGCTGGAACATCCGGTGGCCACTCTTACTGAACCCGAACTAGAGGTATTCTTCTGTAATAAAAAGAGTTAATAATGCCAGTTCAAAATAAAAAAGGACAATATTTCTTAGTTGGAGACAGTGTTATATAATTAGGGTATATTTGTCGAATTGGACAAAAAAAAACATTCAAAATACAGACTATAATACCTAATGGACCTTACAGGGAATCTAATAGGCCTTAGATCATCATGAAGAGGAAGTATTAAAACAACATTTTATACAGAGGAAATCAGTTAGACTAAGACTGGTTATGCATATTTGGTGGAAAAGACTTTTTAATAAAAGGGTAGAATGTTACCATAGACTAACCAACACAAGTAGACTTGTCATCCAATTGCAAATTTTGAAGCACGTTTTTCGTGTCTAGTTCATGTTCGGTGACACTGGGCGCTAGTGTCGACGAAATTTTGTTTATATTATTTTAGGGTTAATTTCTTGATTTGTGCTTTGCTGTTTGGTTATATAACTAGGGGACAAGTTATTGTTTATGATTAGATCGTATTATTTGGTTAAACAAGGTTTTAAATGACTGTAATAACTGGAAACAAATTGTAAACAAAACATGACCTCTACATAAACCGTACAGAACTAACAATAAAATTGTCTTCAGCTGTTCCATAAGGATGAGAAATCTACTTGTGGGAGTATGTTTTATCTATGATGTTACTAGTTCATTGGATTAGGTATGATAAAATTAGTGATAGATTGTTGGCCTGAGATAGTGATTTATTGGTGTTATTTATAAGAAAAAATTAACACTTTGCTTTGTTTTTAAGTATTCATTGTGTTGTTGCATAATCATAAAATCAGTTTTGCGGCTTACAAAACAGGATGCTTTTACCAGTTTATCATCAGTAATAATGTAGAAAAGAACAAACTTTGAGTTCTGTTACCAGAATTGTATAATTTGTGGTCCAACTATCTAATTTTGTGTGTTTTCCCCACAAAAGTGGGTCTGTACCATAAGGGTATGTGTGGATGCCTTCCCACCTCTCACCTGGTGACTTACTAAAACAACCCCTCTTCTTCTTGCCCTTTCCCTGACAATGAGATCACCTCTTGGTATTACTTCATGTCTAGATAAGTTCTGTCTTAATGTTTCGGTTCCTCTATTTTCTCATCATTTTCACCTTTGGATCTGCCTTCCTATCAGGTTTCAGCTGGTCTCGCTTTCCACCATGACTAAACAGATTTACAGTGTTGATGCTCTGTCGCAATGATGTGCGTTAGTTGAGTGTTTTGTTGTCTCTTTTAGCTTACTTATAATAACATTATATTTAAAGAGCTTTGATGTGAAACATTATAATGCTAAACTCATCCTAAGCCTGTTGTCGTGTACCACGTGTTGTAATAATTATGATATCAGCAAGTAGGAGGACTTGCAATGGAGATACTTGACTACTCTAAAAAGATTAATGTTCCATCAGAACAAGTAATGTATCATGAAAATATGAACAACTGTACAAGTGCAAAACCCTAAAAACATTATTTTTAGATTGAGACCTTTTCTTTATTTATGTTGACTAATTTTACCACTACAAGACCTACATGGAGAATACACTTTTCACCAATCGAGTTTAGAATATTTGTGCACTTAACCTAACACAAGTAGACGGTACAGTTTTGACAGAGATAACTATGCCAACTCTCTGCCAATCAGAGGGATGCCTTATAATCTCCCGTAGTCTTCTTATTATAATAATTATTAGAATGTTTCTGAGAAAATAATTATTTCCCACCTTGAATTTTTGTTTTTATACACATGATAATTTTAACCTGATTGTATGCATCGTGTGGAGCTAAAACGTTTTAAAATTTTACATTTGACTAAACTATTTGTATCTTTGCTGTTTCCAGGAAAAAATTTTAGTCCTAGACCAAATTTTTATTTGATACAGTACTCATCTTTGCTTCTAGTACATATAGTAAGTTTTGTTTCGCTATGTATGCCTGTATTGTAAGTATTTCTGATTTTGATATTCATCTTAATGCGTTTCATTTGCTTGCTTACTTGATATTTTAGCAACTTTGAACTATATAATTATTTCTTCATTTTTGCTCATTTTGTATAAAAGGTTAACTATGACATAAGGTGTGGTAATAGTTAAGACTTATTGTACAACCCATAACCCAACCATAAGAAATGATTCTATGTTATCCGTTTTCATACTTTACCGTTATATGTTTTTGTAACAAATTGTGAACTCCTAATTAAAAATTCTATTTTATGTTTAAGTTATATTATTTGATTGGAACGGGTAACTTATTTAAGTAGTTTTACTTATTCTTCCTCTTTTGTTTCTACAAATATAACATAAATATAGGGTTTACGCTTTCCCTCTTTTTGTATTTTTATATGTTTTGTCTAATATTTGGGTTTAGTACAGGGTGACTGCCGGGAACCGGACGTTTTTTAAATGAATAGTACAACCTTATTTTATATAGTAAAATTATTTAATTGTTGAATATATATTGGTGAAAACATACCATTTCAAAAAACATATGTTTTATGGAACCTTTTATCCTAGTTTGGGTTTATTTCTTAAAGATGATATCATGCATATGATGGCCGTTAACCTGGATACAGGTTTCCAACCTCTGGAGAAAATCATTACGCACTCTCATCAACATGTCTTGCCCAATCAAATTCACCTCTTCGGTGATTGCATCTTTTAGCTGCAATAATGTTCGTGGTTTGTGAACATAGACACGAGCTTTCAAATACCCCCATAAGAAATAGTCACAGGGCGACAAATCTGGTGACCTCGGCGGCCACGGCACGTCACCAAAACGTGAAATCAACTTGCCAGGGAACATCTTCTTCACAACTCACATCGATGCAGCGGCAGTATGTGCTGTGGCCCCATCTTGTTGGAAGTAAACATTTTTCACGTTTATTCCTCGCCTCCGAATTTGTGGCTTTAGATATGTTTCCAACATATGAACATAGCGTGCAGAATTCACTGTCACTGTGACTCCATTTTCCTCAAAAAACTTCGGGCTCCTCATCAAAGCAGTTCTCACTGTGGCGATGTTGTCTGGTGTTCTCACTGTTCTTGCTGGACCGGGTGGCTTTTTCTTTGATACTGTTCCTGTTTTTCTGAACTTGTGCACCCATCTTAGCAATGTATTCCGGCTTGGAACCGTGTCATTTCGCGCAATATTAAAGTGGCGTCGGAAGATACGCTGTGTTTTTGATAACGGATTCGCCATTTTTAATAAATGTGTCATATGCAAAAACACGATGCTGCACTGACCACTGATCCATCGTGACTAAAATGGTAAAGCTCACTCAAAACAATGACATAACCTCAATCTCCCTAGCACGTGTAGCAACAATGTAACAGCTGTTGCAAATTCGTCCGGTTCCCGGCAGTCGCACTGTATTAAAGTTGTATTTTAGACTCTGCAGATGAATTTTGAGCATTATGCTTAGGTAATTTAAACACTCATCTGCACCAAATAGAGCTAAGATCAATGAGATAATTATATCTAAAATAAGACATGCCATCTGGCCAAAACCCCTAATATAAAGGATAGTTCGCTTAGCTACTGTATTGTACTGTACTGTTCAATACCCCCACAATACCTTCTGCACTGTATACAGAACATCATATTTGTTGATGATATTTTCGGTTAATTTTTTTCTTATGATTTCTAATCTGCATTTCATTATTTGCCAATAATATATTAAGAAATAAGGAACAGATACATAATTAATTCACCTAAGAAAAAAGTTATAGGCAGTTGAGAATCCACTACTTGTTAACAACACATAATTGAACTTCTCCATTTAAATTATTTTTGATGTTTAGTTTGTATTAATTAAAGGAATGGTTGCAGTTTCTTGAAGGATAATTTATGCAACAATTCCTCTTATTAAACTTGATGTTTCACCCCTCTAAGGTGGTGGCCTCATTAGAAAAAAAATTAGTAGAATGGCTGTTACCAAACGTTCTAAACCAGCCTTGTTGTTTCTTTTAAAAAACTAACCTTTGCTAGGAACAGGTAATTAGTGAAATATTTTTAAAAGTCAGCTTTGTTTGGTAAAATGAATACCATAAAAGTGGTATATATTGTGATGAAAACAGTTACTAAGCAGTTGTTGTCTTGGTTTCAGAAGAATACAGCAAGAGAGTGGTTCCTGATATGGATCTAGCTGATGCTTTGGATGATGAAGAAGAAGACACTCATTCAGGTGAAGGCCCAGGTAGCTATCATTATATAGAAATAGATTTACAGTAGCATGATGTTATATACTTAGTTCCCTAAGTCCTCTTTTAATCTATCATTCAGTCACTGTCAACTGGACTCATAACCACACATGGCTATTAGAAATTTAAAAAAATACCTCCGCCGCAGCAAGCCTGTTGACTAGCTTTTACCTTTACCGGTTCTTTATCGTTGCCCAGCCATAGCTGGATAGATTGCGTTACAAAAAATTAAAACTTTAAAACTTTGACTATATACACTATACAAGGGGGTGGATCATGATGTCCAAACTGAGTCAGGGGTTTCAAAAAATTCCCTGATGGAGTAAAGGGGCCTAGTCTTCAACTCCCTAGACATGTGCGCTACAAACGCTTTAACTGTTAGGCCTCTGATCTCAATACTGAGACCATTATACAGCTTTATGGCCAGAGTGGGGGAACTATTTGCAGTCTTAAATCTATTAGCAGTGCTGACTAAGCAAACTTTAATTTGTCTGATTGGTTTTGCACTAAAGTTTCCCCTTAAATATGTTAGGTTTATTTAAATAACATTAGGTTTAGTCATTACTTAGGTTTGCTACTACAAGGAATGTCATAAAGCGTGTTTTTTTTTTATGTAGATAGCTATAAAATAAATAAATTCCCAAAACTTTTTCAAAATATTACAGTTTCTTATTCTCCATAAGATTTACAAGGGAAAATTAAATTTATAGCTTTATTGAATTTTATTTGTAGCCATTAAAAATGCTTCAGTATACAAAATTACTTTCTTTTTGTTAGCTCCACAAAAAAAAAACCACAACAAATTATATTTTGAGTGTCAAAACCGTGTTCTCCATAGTCCGATTATCCTGGTTCAGGAACTAGTTGGAATGAGCATAGATTTACAATTTACATGTTAGTACTGAATTTCATCAAAATTGGATGGTTTTTACTCAAGTTATCGTGCTAACCGACACACACAGATATTAAAGGTAAAAGCCTGCTCTTATCCATTGATGATAATAGTTCTTATACAGTAGGCCTACATTACCAATGTTGTTTTCACTTTACACTTTAATGGTATCGGCTGAAAATAATTAGCTTATGAAATTCGTTAAACTGTAGGTGTCTTAAAACCTTCTTTATGGTTTTTTTTATTTATTTTTTTTTTTTAAAGGTACTTATGGTTTATTTTCTTCATGTTATCTCAGTAATAACTGCGATCAGAACTCAGTAAATATTTAATATGTTTTTGCCAGGTATATTGCATGCAAGAAGATTGCATTCATTTCATGTATAGCTGCTTGTGCCTTGCATCACATTCTGTTATAGGTCTGCTCATGTTCTTCCTAGATTTTAACTACCTACATTGAAACTACCTTTTTTTTCTTGTCAAGATTATATTCTTTTAATCAATACAAGCTATTATTTCATAAAGCTGTTCACATGCTATCTAAAACATGTTGTTTCCATTGTCTCATAAATCTAATTATCTCCATATACCAAAATATTAACTACTTATCACCTAACAAGATGGTTTGTATGAAAAAAACTGCTACACATGAAGCAGTTCAAAAAATAAACACTCAGCAAGTTTACATTTAATTACTCACTCTCAAAACAGTAACAACTAATTGAAAATTTTGCTTTTTCATATCAAATACGAGTTTTAATAGATATTATTTTTTTAAATAAATAAGTTTCTTAAATTTTTTTGTAATTTTTAGTGGTTTGGCTCATATAAAATTTATATTTGAATAATAATGTGTACTGATCACAACATAGATAATGAGTAATGACCAAACCATATTGATCAGCTATACAAATTCTGCTTACTATATTATTCAAGATGTATCAATCGGTAAAAATGAACAAATCTGCTGATACAATTGGTATTACAGAATACAGACCAAACCAAAACCTTTGTGATTGCCATTCTTTTATTTAAAAAACACCAAGTGCATTCTACAGAGTACAATTGTGTTTTTAAGATTGCTTAAGAATGGATTATCAGTATTTACTGTTTATTTCCTTGTTAATGTCAAACACTAGTTGAAAACCATTGAGATATGCATTATTATTCCATCATTACAAAAGTAACCATACTATTAGATTACCTTTTCATTGTTGCCTGTTCTTAAATAAGATGTTTGGGTGTCACCCTATGCACATTTTGTTAGGTTGTGTGGCATCTTCAAGGGGCCTTCTTAAGCTATCTTCTTCTTCTTATCACTACAACCATTACAAATCTTGAAATCTATTTACACATGTCACTGTTATCTCGGTTGGGATGCCGGGAATGGCATTCATTCTTTTGTTTATATACCTGTAAATTACAACTTAGATACACAATAATACAAAAAAAGAAGAGCATAATAAAATCCATGTCCATAAACAACATGCAAGCCCAATATCATCGCCATGTTAACTAACAATCAACTGGAAGTGGCTTGTACAAAATTGTCTGTAAACTACCATGTAACAACCAATACATAGGCTATAAAAACCCAACAGATCATTTGTTCAACAATTTAAAGAACATAATACCAGTCTTCGTAACAACCCCACATAAGTGGTAGCCAAACACATCAAACAAAACCCAACTCACACATTTCCCAATTCCCTTGTGATTCTTAACAAAACTCACTCAAAACCATTAGCGAAAGTACAAGAAAGATACCAAATATACAAACATGTAAAGATAAATGGATATAAACACCCCCTATAAAAGAATTAAGAAAGATTATACTAGCTCAACACTTTTCAAACTAACCCCTGTTCATTCAACTACAAATTCCAACAGTAATTAACATTTATAAATTTGACTCTGTATCATATATTTTAAAAAATCCCGACCTTATCAAACAAAATTCTCATGTTCATAATACAAGGAATAAAAACGTTGCTACCATAGATTTTTTTAGACTGTCTAAAACTCTTATTGTCTCTTACTCTTACTCTCTCTAACTCTTAAAGTCATATTGTAATCTCACTAAAAATATACAACAAGCTACATTTAATAACAAAATATCCTAAACAAACTTTTAAATCTAAATTCTACAAATGGCTTTTGAACAACCCTTTTTATTCTCTAAAAGATTTTTTTGAAATGCCTTTTATTAATTTTTAAGTAGAGCTAGCAAATTTACCAAATTACTGTTGGATTTAGTTTGTTATGGGGTTTAATAACTTCCATTATTCCAAACGCCTTGCATTTTTCTTAACAATAAGATTATTTGGTTGTAATATTAAAGTATGTATTGTAACATGTCTCCTTGTGTGTAGTATTCTTGTAAATATTTTATATTGTATTAATTAACTGACTATGCTAGTTTTAGCAGTTTTCGGACATTGTCAATAATTTGTATAAATTCACAAGACAATAAACACATTTCATTTCAATATACAACATTGAAACTGACACAATAACTGGAAACACATCAACACCCCAGCAATACTACAGAGATCAAAGCAGCTGCCATAAACCTGGAAACCCCAACAGTAGAGGGTGAACTGTTGAACAGCTCAAATGCCAACACTTCCAGTCCAAGAAGTGAAACAGAGGAAAAAAGACCTCCTGTCGTCTCCTGGACTTGATTGATTGGGATACCAGTGACATGTGTAAATATTGTTGTATATATAGCCACTGTAGTCTTACTAGTGTTAGTGATAAGAAGATAATTTAAGAAGACCCCCTGAAGATGCCACACAAGCTGGCGAAATGCATAGTGTGACACTCAAACATGTTACTCAAGAACATAGACAACAACAAAAAAAGGTAATCTAATATAGTTTGCGTTCTTGAACCTGGCATAGTAAAAAAACATATAAAGTAACAATGAATCATAGCACGTTAAAATAATAAACGATATCAGCAATCTGACACATACTTTCTCCCATTAGCTTGTCAACAATCCTATGATATTTTCACTATGAGGGAAAATCACAAAAGTAACAATAACTTTTGAACCATAATTTTTACAGCAATGGGTGTTGCGCTATTTTGTTTAGAATTATAAGAACCATAACATACAAATTTTTATCAAAACCTGGTTTTTTAATAAGATTTTTTGTTATTTTATGGGGTTTTTATGGGAAAATAACATTAGTTACAATAACTTTTGAACCATAGTTTTTCCAGCTATGGGAGTTGTACCATTTTGTTTGTAATTTAAAGGGCCGTAACATACAGAAATTGCATCAAAATTGTTCAGGTCGTTTTTGATTAAATTTGAATTGTCTGTTAATTTATGGGGTTTTATGGAAAAATCACCATTAGAAATCTAAATTTCAAAAAAACAAAAGAAACACCTGGAGATACCATGGAATAGTACGAAATTTCATCAAAATGGCTCTGTACACATCCACACCTACAGACACACACACAAACACACACATCACTTCGAAAACAATTTTTTTTGTCCAGGGGGACTCAAAACTCAAACTCAAATTTGACAAAAACAATACTTTCTCCGTATACTATGTACACTGTACAGCATAAGGGGAGAAAGTAAAAATATAAAAATTTTAATCTGTTGAATTATTTAATTAAAACAACCTCTCTTGATGAAATAATAAAGTTTTTTTTCAAAAATAAGTTTTATATTATGATCTATAATCTATATTCAAATGCTCGTTATTGTTTTTAAGGTATTTTGGAAAGGAAAATAGGAATTTAGGGGGTTAGCGATACACAACAAACTTTACACAGTACAAGTATTTTGTTCTAAACAAAACTGTTTCAAAGAGTAGACTGAAGATAAGATAATTTATTTTTCTTTTAATGATCCTTTTCTATTTACTCTCTGAAGGAATCATATAGACAAAATACCGGTATTGCTGAGTAAACGTTTTTTTGCATCTTTTAGTCTCTGGACAGGTCACTTCCTTGTTGAATTCCTTTCCTCTACAAAATACAAAATATTCCAAAATTAGCCACATGGTTTTCCCCTTTTTTCTTTTATTTTTTTCAATGTAGACTATTTTTTAAATTTATCTCCAATCAAAGTCAAACTTTATTCACACTTGATAAACTCAGCTTTTATATTTTAAACTGACTTAAATTTAAGTAAAACTCGTACAAGGTTTTAGAAACCATATATTAACAGCATTCACTCATTTACATTCTCTTCGCTTAGTTTCCTCACCTCATGCTAAGCTAAGCTAATGAACGTAGTGCAACTCTGTAGTAATGTAGCTGGGAGGGGTGCAATGTGCCGAGTGTGAGCTTAGCTTAGCTTAGCTTAGCAATTGTAGTTTAGTGGTTATTTCTGGTGGTCAGACGTGTTCTTCTCGCTACTAGTACCCGCCCCGAAGCAACTGACGTTGGAGCGGCAACTCAACAAGAGCGTGTTGATCGGATGGAATCCTCCAGACACTTCGACGTCACCCCCCATCGACTGTTACCACGTCTACGTTGACGGAGTGCTCAAGGTCACAGTCAAAGCTACTGAGAGAACCAGAGCTCTGGTGGAGGGGGTCGACTCTAACAGAGTAAGTGTTGATACTAGAAAAGTTGTACAAATCTTGTAAATTCGAATGACATGTCTCCCTCTACTCTAAATACATGTTTAAATGAGATCTAACGGTGGTTTAAGAGATGACTGTTCAAAAACACAAAATCAATGGTGGTGAAGGATGGGTTCTAATGTGTGTGTGCAACCCGCTCGCCACTCTAGATCATTCGATCCTTACAAAATTTATTGATGCTTGTGCCGGCATGAAGTTGTTGTCACTTTTTGTGAAAAGGTTCTCTTTAATACAGAGAATGAAATTTTCAATTCAATACACACCCCAAGTCCAATGCTGTAATTTCAGTGTTACTAACAAATAAATTACACAAAAAAAACTTGCAACCAAAAGAATGTAAATGCCATCAATTCACTTTATGGACACAAAATAAATATTTAAACTATTGATTGCGATAATTCTTAATTATTAAGAAATTAAAACATTAAGTTGCTTGCATAATGGATTTAGATTGTTCTTAGTCATGGTATTGTAGGTTTTTGGAGGTTTTATTTTGTGGTAAGTTTCTCCTTATAATTGACAAGTGATGCATTGAAACACCAAATATCCATACTATGATTAACTGAATCGATGTTTAGATTTGTAAGTAATATTTAAGAAGGCAGATTAAGTGAAAGTGAGGGAGGTAAAAAGATGTATAGATTATGTCTAGTATTCAACACATTGTCTAGTGTCCACGGTACCACAGTACATTCAACATTTCTGTATGGTATTTTATTTACAGCAGCAAAACAAAGAGTTATCAGAACCCTCTCAAGTTTAGCCACTTTTCTCACCACTGATTTACAGTCACTGTGTTTTGCATCTGCCTATCTGTGGTTGTGTCTACACGTTTCGTATTATTTCGAGCAACCCTAGTAATAAAATAACTATTTTCAATGTATGTTATGTTTGAATCCCAATTGTAATCCGACCTTATTAATTTAAACTATCGAAATTGGCCTGATCCCCAATTGAATTTGGATAGTCATATTTCTACAGTACCTATTTATATCTCTAGTGTAAAAGCAATAGTCTCAGCAACATGGTCAAAGTCCATATTTTTCTCAAACACTTCTTGGAGTTAAAAATTGCAATTTAGTCCTTAATCCTTAAAATTATTTACTATTGTTATAGTTTGATTCCTGTGTAGTAAAATACTGTTATACTTACCATAAATATTAGTTAATTTGTAAACTTTTCTTCCTGCATTTTTTTATGAAACAAAGAAGTTTACAACAACCTTTGTTTTTATTTGGGTGTAGATTACTTATTACTAGACTGCCACAATACAAGAGGCTGTATCATCCAAGGTGCTGCAATTCCTTGGAACTCTGAACTTAGTTCGGAAAATTTCTGGTTTTGGCATATAAAATGGTGAAAAGACTTCCGAATTGAATGTGCAATTTGCAAAACTCGCTGATAGAAAAATAAGGCAATTGTCTTTTGGTGATAAATTTTTATTCTCTGAAATAATTCTTCAATGACCCAATCCTAGACTAACACCCATACATTGTCTTTACCAGCCACATCATAATTTATTTTTTTTTATATATATTGTTTGTAAATATTATATACTGTGTGTGAGTGAATAAAAAGTATTCAATTATTGCGACATGATCTACATAGATAATCCAATGAAGGATTGCTGTTTAGTAATAATAATGTCAGAAGGTACATTAGCTGTGAATTTTGAGCAGATTCTTATCATCTATACATAATCCATCAAATTGACTTTTGCGTTGCAGCCCCATAGGATAAGTGTGAGGTCAGTGACGGCTAATCGCAGGACGTCCAGAGATGCTGCCTGTACCATGGTGATAGGCAAGGATGTTCCCTTGGGCCCGTCACAAGTCAAGGCTAGTCGTGTGACTGCTACGTCAGCTGTCATATCATGGCTACCGAGTAACAGTAACTACCAGCACACTGTCTGTGTTAACAACGTAGAGTTACGCACTGTTAAGCCAGGGGTCTACCGTCACACTATCACAGGTCAGTGATTCTCACCTTTAATTCACCAGTTCTGCACACAATCGGGAGTTAAGTGTTCTACTAAGGTTGCAGGTTGATTGATTGATTGATTGATTGATTCTGTAGGGGCGGACCTTGTCCTGTTGCACGTCAGCCACTGATGGACTTTTTGCGCTCCCCACATCGTACTTCAGAGTCCGTCAAACCTGAGTTGCTTAATGAACTCCAGCATCCTGTCAATGAGCTCCTCCTGAGGAAGGTGTCTGCCCCTTGTCATTGCACCAAGAGTACTGTCCCTTACCTCATTCAGAGCTGTGCAGTCGTAGAGTAGGTGATCAGCAGTCTCCTCTGATTGCCCACATTTCCTACACGCAGTGTCACCATTGTGGATCCTCAAGCGATGCAGGTGTAATTTCAGAAAGCCATGTCCAGTGACCATTCCTGTGATCTGTCTGAGTCGCCTCCTGTCCAAGCGTAGGGCATTGGAGGCGACCCTCTGGGAAGGGGAGAAGAGGGTGAGCTTACTTACCCTATGGTGCTGAAGCCTAACCCATCTTTTCCTGTGTTCCTCCTGAGCCCATGCCATGACTGAGTGACATGCATGCTCACGAGAGATTCCACAGAAAGGCTGTGGTCCCACGAAGTCTGAGGCTGACGCGACATTTGCTAGCCTGTCAGCCACCTCATTCCCTTCTATCCCTGAGTGCCCAGGAACCCAACAGAGCGTTACCTTGTTGCGCCTGTCCAGGTCACATACCGCAGAAAGGCAGTCCCAGACCACCTTAGAATTGAATTCATAGGAGTCAAGCGCTTTGAGCGCAGCCTGGCTGTCTGTAAAAATGGAAATGTTGATGTCCCTGAAGCCTAGCCTCAGGTTTTCCCTAGCACATACCATAATCGCAGTCATTTCGGCCTGGAACACAGTTGGGTGAGTGCCCATAGGAAGACAAATGTCCACCCCGTTCTGCACTCCATGAATTCCAGCCCCAGTCCCACTTCTTACCTTAGAGCCATCAGTATACCATTCAAGGTCGCCTTGTGGAAGAGGATTCCCACCGGACATCCACTCATCCCTGGACGGAAGGAGGACAGTGAATGGTCTGGCGAAGAAGAATCGAGTCGGCATGTGATCCGAGGGCATGTCCATTACCTCCCCTCTTACCTGCTGAGTGATCCGAGAGTGACCTCGGGATCCTCCAACATCCAACCAAAGGTTTTCACACTGGAGTCTGTAGGCAGTCCTCCTCGCAGTGACCTTGACATACAGGTCAATCGGAGTGAGGTTGAGAAGGCAGTCCAGTGAGGCTCCCGGACAGCTGCTCATTGCGCCCGTGATGATGAGACAGGCGAGTCTTTGGACGGCAGCCAGATCCCTCACCGCCGACACTGAGTCCATCTTGGGCCACCACATGAGTGAGCCGTATGTCATGGCGGGCCTTACCACGGAGACAAATAGCCAGTGCATGAGCACCGGCTTGAGCCCCCAGGTTCCTCCCACCATCCGTCTGCAGGCCATGAGTGACCACTTACCTCGATCAATGACCTTTTGGAGTTGTGGCCCCCATTGCAGCTTTCGGTCCAATACCACCCCCAGGTACTTTACCTGATTCTGCATTTCAAGCACTGTGTCTTGTAGTCTCAGAGGTCCTATGCCATTTAGATCGTGCCTCCTCGTGAAGGGGATAACCGCCACTTTGGAGGGGTTGATAGAAAGGCCTACCTCTGTGCACCATTGTCCAACTGACCTCAAGGCTGTGTTCATGAGGTCGGAGACCGTGTTATTGAATTTACCCATAACTAGTATCACAATGTCGTCCGCGTATCCTTGAACGAATACACCACTATCACTGAGAGATCTAATTAAGTCGTCCACAACAAGGTTCCAGAGAAGAGGAGAGAGTACACCCCCCTGTGGACACCCTCGTGTGGTCCTGGCCTCCAGAACCTCATTGTGAAGAAAGAGTCTTACCTTCCTCCTCTTAAGTAGAGACTCTACCCACCTGCACACCACCTCATGGAATCCACGAGCTCTGGCAGCATTGATAACAGCCTGGGTTTCAGTGTTGTCAAAGGCGCCCTCCCCTGGATGTCAAGGAACGCCCCAAGGGCAATCTCCTTGAACTCAAACGCCTTGTCGATTCTGCTTACCAGGTGATGTAGGGCAGAGTCACAGGATCTTCCTGGGGTATAGGCGTGCTGGTTTCTATGTAGGGGATTGACTCTGAGGACTGTGTCCCCCACATACCTCAGCACCAGTTTCTCTAGGGTCTTCAACAGGAATGAGGACAGAGAGATGGGACGGAAGGACTTGGGATCCGTGTAACTTGCCTTACCAGGTTTTGGGATGAAAACCACCCTTGAGATGCTCCAGGCCGGGGGAATGTGTCCCAGGGCCAAGCTGGCCCTGAACAACTTACTCATTGCCGGAAGTAAAATTTCGATACCTTGCTGGAGACAGACAGGTCTTACCTCGTCAGGTCCAGGTGATTTGTATGGGATGAGTGACCCTATGGCCCATCTCACACGACTGTGTGTCACAATGTGGCACGCAACCCTCCACCGAGTGTTGTTTGCCCTTGCGACAGCTTGTTCCTCATCCTCCGGCACAAATGGCTCGCTTGGGATGATGCAGCCAGGGAAGTGGGTGGCCGCCATGAGCTTTAGCACTTCCTTAGGTTCATACAGCATATCTCCCCCAGGCTCCTTGAGGGGGCCTAGCTTGGAGGAGTTGTCCTTTGTTAGGACAGTGTATATCCTAGATGTATCTCTAACACTTTCTAGCTTGCTACAGAAATGTTTCCAGGAGAGCCTTTTGGCCCTCCTTACAGCCATATTATATTGGGTTAGCAATCTGTGGTAGCCATCCCAATTATTTTTCCTCTTCGCCCACCTGAACTGAGACCTGACTCTCTTTTTCAGGCTGGCGAGCTCTGTGGTCCACCAACTCACTTTACCCTGCTTCCTCACCGTTAGCGGGCAGCTCTCGTCAAAGGACGTGACAATGGCCTCGCCTAAGCTCCCAGAGGCAAGGTCTAGCGTGTTGGTGTCTCTGACCCAAGGGAACTGTGTGTCAAAGCATTCAATGCGCTCTTTAAGAGTTGATCTGTACATATCCCAATCTGCCTTTCTGGGATTCCTGAACTCAATCTTTTCCAAGGAAAAGTTACCAATGTTGAACATGATATGTCTGTGGTCAGAGAGGGAAGGTTCCTGGGATACCCTCCAATCCAGAATTCTGTGACTGATCCCCACGTTGGTTATAGTAAGATCTATTACAGATTCCCCAACCCTGCTATGAAAAGTTGGTTCTGAACCGACATTAGCAATCATTAGACCATTAGAGGCTAAGTATTCAAGAAGTGCCTTACCTCTTGCGTTATTATCCCTACATCCCCAAGCAGTGTTGTGGGAGTTGGAGTCACAGCCCAGCACGAGGTCGTCGCCGGTCCTGGCCGAGTGCTCGACCAGCTTCCTGACTTCCTCTTGCGGAGGCTGCGTGGGCTCATCTTGCGGCATATATACTGAAGCAATTAGAAGACGCCGTCCGGACTCCCTGCATTTGGTCTCTACCGTCGTGATGTCTCTGGAACAAAATTCCAGAACCGGCACACAAATGGTGTCATTACTAGTCCAAATGCAGGTTCTAGGATTCCGGACCTGAGCCGAGAATACCTGGCCCCTAGAGACCCCCATTCCCGTTATATTGCCGTCTCTAACCCAGGGTTCCTGGATAAGGGCAAAGTCAAAAGCCCCACCCGCTGTACTCGCACAGAGTACCGCAGTGGCAGCTTTACTGTGCTGTAGGTTCGCCTGCAGTATTCGGATCGTCATCAGGAGCACCTGAAAGAACCTTGAGCTGAACCTTGAGCTGAACTCTTGTTATACCCAAGAAAATCCTCCAGCCCCTGTCCCTCAGGAACTTGGCACTCCCGCAGTCAATTGCCAGAACCAGAGTTTGGTGTTCCGCCTCTCGCTTGCAACTGACCACTCTCCAGTCTCTGGTTGACAGTCCAGGATTCAGCTTCTGGACAAACTCAAAGATTTCTTTAGGATCTTTCCTGGCCAGGATCCAGTCGGTATGGAGAAGGACCTTGGTGGTACGCAGGAGATCTCTATGATCCCCCACAATCACACTCGGCCCCCCCACGCCCACCGGACCCAGACCAACAGCCACCTCCTTGAGCCAATCTCTGGTCTCCTCGTTTCCGCACAAGACTGCGAGGGCACCTTTGTCCTTGTAGGTTTTCAGGATCTGCTGAGGAGTGGCGGCCATAATAACCATCTCAAACAGTTTCTCCTGTAACAAGCAAAATTGTTCATCAGTGAACCTATCGTCAGGATAGTTCTCCAGAACAATCGCCATCTTCCAGCCTGAAAGTTGGTCCTTGAAGGTCAAGTCCTTGCTGGCATCGCCCTCTGCAGTGCTCCTTGGCGGCGGGGGTGGGACATCCCACCTTCTCGGCCGCTTTGGGGTCTGCTGAGTCTGATGCTGCTGCGGTGGACCTGAAACTCTACGCATAGGAGAAATACCAGAGCCCTCTCCTCCAGCAGGACTAGGAGTTTCAGCCTGCCTTTTTCTCTTGGGCTTGTTGACAAACCCTTTGGATTTTTTGTACTCAGCTTTTGAAAGCCAAGTACCCTCAGCCTCCTTCCTTGCCCTGACCTGTGTCCTCCACACACTAGGGGGTAAAGATGGCCGTTGTCTTCTCTCCTGTTCTGGAACAGTTGCACATGCCTGGGTCTTTACGCTCAGATCCGGTGTTGCCACCTCAGAGGTAGAGCCCAGGGTTAGATTTGAATGGGCGCTTGAGTCAGCCACACTACCCGCCAAAGCCCTGTGTGCTTCCTCAAGCATTTGAATGTCGTCGATACCAAGATTTTGTGGAGATCTAGCAATGAGGGAGCTCCTGGCAAAAGCCTCTTTGCCCCCCTCCACCTTCGTCTCTGAAACACTGTCTGATAATTTGCCCTCCCCAGAATCCATGGACCAGCCCTCCAAGATGGAGGGGTGGGATTCACGCCTAGGCGCTGACCCACCTGGGGTATTTTCCGTAGTTTGATTAGCAGACATCATAGCTTCTGAAACAATACCAGGTTAGCAGTTTGAAGACCGTACCGTGTTCCATACACTCCGCTCATCAATACCTACTCCAGCACCGCTGCACACATACCAGAACTGGAGAGCAGTGCAGCAGCCTTACCGTGATCCATTCACTCCGCCTGCTGCTCAATTGACACTGAGCCCGGACCGGTGTCCATCACCTCGGCCTCAGGTCATACTAGCGTCGCTGCTCCCCGACCCTAGGGCAGACATTCACTCTGCCACCATAGATCCGCTGCCTTTAGTGATAACAGTGGCACCCCATGTAGGCTGTGACTAAAGGACACAGTACAGATTAACTGACTCACAGCAGTCTTGAGGGAAGGGTGCCACAAGGGCCCACATCCCCCCTGAGGGGCTTACGCTTACCTCTCGCCACCAAGGTTGCAGGTTTGATCCTGAGAAAGTAAACTGGACCTATCTGCCATAACCATTGACTAATGGGGTAAATTAATAGCCCTGACTAAAAACCGGCTGATCTTCATAACAAAGCTATCATCTCGTCCTAAATTCATCCTTCACCCATCTTTGCAATTAAATGTTGTTGTCAGCTTTCTGTTGTGTTGGTGTCACATAAATCCAATGACCAACTCCAGAGTGTCTACAGTTACATACTGATTTTAATTGAAATTCACAGATATTTATCAAGGTTGCAGGAATAAAATAGGCGAATTAGTTATTTTTTCCATCCCCTAAAATAGAAACAACAATGAAAACGTGGTATATTTTTTCATAAATTTTGTATTTAGTAAAGGAAATCTTAATTGTTGAATGCATTATAATTCAACTTTTAAATTTCAAAAGAGATTAAATTCTCCTATGACTTTCTGTTCAACCATCTCTATATATTAGTGATGGGTCGGTACCACTTGTTCAATGTTACCCCCCAATGAACACCGTACTGGTAACACAAGCATGCACGTGGGGGTATGCCAGACCAGGGTGGTGATAACAGGTCAATGACTTGGTTAAGGCTAACAACCCTGTGACCAGATGATAGCATATGCTATTTTAGGCAGCTACTGTTATGCTCACCAGGGCTGCCCCCATACTTGTAAAATTATGACAAAATTACCATACGTGGGGGTATGTCATACCCCCGGGCACGCGTTAAGGGTTAACTAACTAACACTGAAATAATCATCCTATAGCCTACTATTGATAATATTTCATGATAAATATGCCCTTTCAAATAGCCTCAAGTGAAAAATAATCATCATGGTTGACAATTTGAATTTCGTAAATAAAAATATAACCAATTAACTTGGTACCAAAATTGTCGGTACTGACATTTCAACATCGATTTTCGGTCTCGGTGCTTTTCCCAAGAACCGGTGGATCCTACATTTGACGTTAAGTACCGACCCATCACTACAATATATTATATTGTAATGCTGTGTTACTATTTTCTGATAAATATTTCAGAGGAATAAGGAATATTTTGTCAATACTTATTCTAAAGTATATTTTTTGCATGTAATTCAAACAGAATGGTCCTTTTATGTAGGTTGGTTTGAAAAAGGTTTCTGTTATCAAAATTAATTTTAATAATTTTTACTAAAAGACAGTTTGTTGCTTGCAGGATTGGCTCCCAACACGGTGTACAGAGTGACCGTCAGAGCCAAGAACATTCGAGCGCCTCACTTTGACGAAAAAACAAACATCTCCATTGAAAGATACTCCTGTCATATAGATTTCCGCACACTTCCTAAAGGTAATGTCTATGAATTGTAATGTAGTAATTTGATTGCTGGTAATTTCATGTATTTTTGTTTAGCCATACAAAATGGCTGGCTTTTGTGTAGCATAGCAGGTTCTGTCTTCTAGTCCAGTTTTTCAGGTATATATTATAAAGATGAATAGGTAATATACTATAAATATTTTCAGTACAACTAAGAAAAAAATGAAAATATGACCACGATACACAATTATCATTATACAAATATCACCCTAATCATAAAATACAAAGAACTGCAAATGACAATTTTTCATGTAAACACTAAAGGTTTTATGTAGAAAGTATAAGATTAAGACTTTAACATAAAAAAATACACAAATGGTCATAACCAATAATTGAAAGTTCATCATTCATATTTTAAAAAATTAGGGATGGACGAGATTGGATTTTTAGTTCGAGACGAGACGAGACGAGATTTTTTATTTCTCATAAAATTTCAAGACGAGATCGAGACGGGATTTCCCTTCTCATACACAACGGGAAATGCACGTTCAAAATTTTTACCTGATTTTGTAACATTGTTAGATGACTGTTTAAATACAAAAATAATGATAATAGGCAAGAATATTTACAATCTTTTATTAAAAAACATCAGCATAACATTTTTTTATTAATCACGCCTAACTTATTAAAAATGCCTACGATTAGGAAACATAGTGATATCAGTTAGGATAGAGTTCAACTTATCCTAAAATAAAATAAATCATAAAATAAAAGCAATATTAATTTTTATAAAATAGTTACTTGTTTTGACTTTTTATAGTAATAAAACATTCCTCACACTGCTTACACTTAACAAAACTTTTCAAATGTTATTAAAGTAATATTATTAAAATAATTAAAGTAATATTTACATTTAAAGAATTAATTAAATAAGAACGCCTTCGCAAAGGAAACACAACTACAACACGCTCCTGTATTGCGGGTATTGCATTGACTTTCTGCAGGCGTTTTTAATTTTTTTTTTTCTCGTCTTGATAAAAATCTCGGCCAAAAAGAAATCTCGTCTCGTGTAACGAGATTTAAAATTTTCCGAAAATTTCCCGAAATTTCGAGACTTGACCATCTCTAAAAAAAATTTTCTAACAACTAGTAATTCAATTTGTAATAATGCCATTTTACCCAATAAAGTGATTTCAATTTCATGTGTGAAGACAATATCTGTCCTACCAGTTCTTTAGAAAAGTGCTGGTGCTGGGAACCGATGTCATAATGAATATACTGGTACTTTGGTACTTTGGTATGGTTTATGGTACTGGTTGGTTTCTATAAATACAGCAAGGTCGTGGTCAGAAGATCACAGTTACAGGCTGGGTGGTACAGTATTGGGTGAATTACGGGCGTGGCAATGGTAAATCTGTCCCTAGGTCCCTTGTTACTTGTATTGTTTGTTTATTTATTTAGATACAAAAATGTGACTAACTTGAAACTCAAAACTGCCAAAATATGGGAAAAGTGGTTGTGGCAATATCTGTGAGCTGCTAAAGGTGTAAGATCTGGATAACAAGAGTGATCCTTCCTTGTGGTCACAACAATATGTCATTTCCCACAACCATAAAAGATAATCGACAGAATGCCATTAAAGAATGGACACTCAACCTTAGTGTTATTGGCAGCATTAATTCAAATCCCCTTGCCACAGCAAACCTGCAGACTAAGCGGATTTCCACCAATTAAATATATTCCAATAACATTAGGCTTAAGGAGTACCTAGGTTTGCTGCTACAGAAAAGGTAATAAAGTGTATTTTTTAGTAAAATATTAATAGTTTAGTATAAAATAGTTATATAATAGTATAAACAGTTTGTTCAATATATATCAATAAACAAGCATACTACAACAGCTTACTTATTTTCCATAAGAATAGCATGGGAATTTTAAATTTACAGTTTTTGGATTTTGTCCGTAACTAATAACCGTAAACACACTTCAACTCAATAAATTATTTTTTTCTTAATATCTTCAAAATGGTTTTGACATAAATTGGGACATTTGATTTTTGAGGATCAAAAATGATAACCTATTTTCAAAAACCTATTTTCACTAGGTGCAGGTCAACTGAGCCTCCAGAATGATAACAATGAGTTTATTTGATTTGATATTACAAACTGCAATAATTGCAATCAAAATAATTTATCACAACATGTGCTCACTAATCCAGCTGTTCAGGACTTAAGCAATGCCGGATTATTGATGTATTCATGTAGTTATTCATGTATGTTATTCATGTAGTTAGTTTGTGCTGTACTCCGTTATGTTACTGTGACAGTTTAAAATGTCTGTGTTGATTGAATATGCCACGAACTGTGAGGTGCGTGCAGTAATAAGGTGTCTAACTGCAAAAAACTGTAAACCAATAGAAATCTATTGGCAAGTTTGTGAAATGTATGGGGTAAACATTATCACTGAAGGTGTAGTGCGTCAGTGGGCCATAAAATTTTTAAATAGCCAAACTAACGTTAGCGATGAAGACCAAAGTGACAGACCCATTAAAGTGACTGCCGAACTTGTTGAAAAAGTCAATGCCGAAGTCCGCAAAACTCTAAAATTCACAATAACGGAACTCTCTATGGGTTTTCCACAAATTTTGTGAAGTTTGTTGCACAAGATCATTGGTTACCATAAGTTTTGTGCAAATGGGTACCTAAAATCTTTACACTTACTTGACTTAATTCCATTAACTCCCACTAAAGCAGAGGGCTTTAACTAGTATCCTTCCCTGGTCCCTGTCAGCAGCAACTCTCTTCATCTCTTCCCACTTGTTCCCACCCGTCTGGCCTCTCTTTCAAAACTTTGTTTCCAATTTTCTCTTGGCCTTCCTCTTCTTCTTTCACCTTGGGTTGTCCAATTAAGTGCTTCTTTTTCCAGGACATAGTTTGGTTTCCTTAGTGTGTGTGTGCAATACATCTCGACTTCCTTTACTTTATTTCCTCATGTATACGCAGCCGGTCTATTCACTCTAGCAATTCTTTGTTTGAAATCACTTCTGGCCACCAAATGTTCAAAATCCTTTTTAAGACAGCGATTTACAAATACTTGCAATGGCCGTGTCACTGTCATTGAAGTTTTCCATGTTTCACACCCATATAATAAAACTGACTTGACATTTGTATTAAAAAGTCGCAACTTAGTTTTAATATATAATTCCTATTTTCCACAATGGGTACATTTCGTTCTTTATTTAAAACGTTTGGATTCTGGAACCTTTCATTTACCTCATTTCTTTATTCTTGTTGCCTTTTAAGTCCAGCTTTTCTTGCTATTTGGTTTAAAAAAGCTGAGGGATCCTCCTGCAAATCACTAAACCTTTGTGACAATAGACACAGGTCATCTAACCTATCACGTAGGTTCTACTGAATTCCTCTTCTTCATTCTTCTAAAGAACCTCTTATAATAGTGTCAAGTACTACAATACAATAAAAAGAGTTGGTGAAAGGATACATCCTTGCTTCATGTACCTGTATCTATCTTTATTGGTTGTGAAAGTTCTCCCTCATGTATTACTTGTCACTCATATCCTTCACTTTCTCGAAACTCTAAAATTCACGATAATGGAACTCTTTAAGGGTTTTCCCAAAGATTTTCAAAGTTTATTGCACAAGATCATTACCAAAATGCTTAGTTACCACAAGTTATGGGCAAGATGGGTACCAAAAATCTTGATAGAGTTTCAAAAAAATCAGCAAAACTCACTACTTGATCACGTTGTTACTGGTGACAAAACATGGGTCAAACATGTGAACTGTGAAACTACGGCTTACATTTGTATATAGTAAAATGTTTTTCCAAGACTTTGTTTATCCTTAATTCCAGAACGTAATCGATATTCTGGATAGCACTCGTTTATATGAACCCTATCGAGTACAACCAACCTCCGCCAATTGTGCCCTACTCTCCTGATCACTCCTTACTCTTTCAACTCTGAGTTTTACAGACCCTTAGACTGATCCCAAAGTATTGAAAGTGCTGGACTATGGAATGCCGGATTAGTGGGCTTTAACTATAGTTAGTCACAAAGTACTTTATTTTACTTGGTTTTGAATTTACTTACAAAAGGAAAACTGTCAACATTTTCTGACAGTTAAATTAATCCCTGCACAAAATTTCCCACACATATTTTTAAAATTATCTGCATCTAACTCTTATATTGCTTGCAAGAAAAAAAATAAAAACACACATATACAGGGTGTTATTTTTTTAACACAGCCCAAATTAAATAAAAGTAGAGGCACTCTTTAATGTTAAAACAAGCTTGTATGTTGATATCCCTGTTTTCTTTACTTCATTACTGATCCACTGATATGCATTGTTGCATATTTATCCACAAGGCTTAGTGATATTAGGAATTTATTGTAAATAAGACAACAACATGGCATTTCCCCAAGCTCAAAGAGTTATAAGAATACGTTGAAAGTCATTGGTTTTATGCCAAGAATGGTTTGAAATTAAGTTTCCAGGTGCGATTCCAGTACCTAATAAATAAACTATTAATATTATTGACATATACAAGTTTAAGGAAACCAAATTTGAAGATTTATTTTAAGTGATGAGTCAGGCAGATGGAAATTTGCTTAGTCTGCAGGTTTGCTGTGATGAGTTTTTATTTAGGAAATTTCCCATATAGGGAATAAGCTATTACTGTAGTACTCATGGTAAGACCTGGACCCGGACCGATTTACTTTTTCGTTTTGAGGTCACTAGAGGCCAAAAACACCATCCGTTCAAATTCATATATATATACAGGGTGTCCATAAAAAACGTTTCAGGACTTTGGGAAATGAATCCCCATACTTTACCCAGATATCCGCCATTTTGTTTTTATTCAAAAATATTTTTATCTGTGAAGTTTTTTATTCGATGATTATGAAATTTGTTAAACATGTTAACATACACAATACCTATAACGGAAAAAATAATAAAGTTGTTCCGATTGTAAATTTCAAAATGGCAGCCATTTGAATTTTTCTAACTTAAATAACTCAAAAACGGCTAATTCTATGAAAAAATGTCTAGAATACTTTTTTTTAGCATTTTTAATTGCTTATCAAACAATACCAAGATCAAAAAGATCGGACAAAAGATAACTGAAATATTACGTTTTTTCTGTAAACATGAGGCAAAAATTAAGGGTTCCCCGACTAACTTTGCCTTATTTTTACAGAAAAAACGTAATATTTCAGTTATCTTTTGTCCGATCTTTTTGATCTTGATATTGTTTGATAAGCAATTAAAAATGCTAAAAAAAAGTATTCTTGAAATTTTTTCATAGAATTAGCCGTTTTTGAGTTATTAGAAAAATTCAAATGGCTGCCATTTTGAAATTTACAATCGGAACAACTTTATTATTTTTTCCATTATAGGTATTGTGTATGTTAACATGTTTACCAAATTTCATAATCATCGAATAAAAAACTTCACAGATAAAAATATTTTTGTATAAAAAACAAAATGGCGGATATCTGGGTAAATATGCATTTTCGGACATACCTTCCCATAAACTTTTTTCTTCCTTTTAGTATGGGGATTCATTTCCCAAAGTCCTGAAACGTTTTTTATTGACACCCTGTATATACAGGGTGTCCCGGAACTCTCTACCAATATTTTAGGGCATTGCTCCTGGGTGAGAAACATAACTAAATATCATATTTAAACTGTCCGGAAGTCCTTAATTACTCACACAGCCGCCATTTTGTTTTTTTAAGTTATTAATTTTTTTCTAAAGAATGGTTAAACATACGAAATGGAAACTTTACACAAACATTTAGGACAACTAGACAAAGCTACCAAAAAATTATCACGATTTTTTAAATTCATAAAACAAAATGGCGGCCATTTAAAAAATTTGTAAAATCAATGGTTTTTGAGTTATTTAAGAAAGAGAAATTTAAATGCCGCCATTTTGTTTTATGAATTTGAAAAATCTTCATAATTTTTTTGTAGCTTTGTCTAGTTGTCATAAATGCTTGTGCAAAGTTTCCATTTCGTATGTTTAACCATTCTTTAGAAAAAAATTAATAACTGAAAAAAACAAAATGGCGGCTGTGTGAGTAACTAAGGACTTCCGGACAATTTAAATATGATATTTAGGTACGTTTCTTACCAAGAATCAATGCCCTAAAATATTGGTAGAGAGTTCCGGGACACCCTGTATATAACCATTAGCACGATAACTCGAGCAAAATGATCCCATTTTGATGAAATTTGGTACAAACATGTATGCCTACGTTTATTCGAACGAGTTAGCGAACCAGCATGATCGGACTATGGGAACAGGGGTTTATGGGGGCTTTTATGGGGCAAAAATTGGTTTTCCCGTTTTTGACCCTAAAAACTTAAAATTTAGCATTTTCTTTCCAGACCATTTTGTAGAGCTTTAAAAAAAACAAATAATTTAGTATATTGAGGTGTTATTATGCGCCTAATGGTTACGGAGAAAATTCCAAAAAACTGTAAATTAAAAATTCCCATGTTATTCTTATGGAGGATAAGTAAACTGTTGTAGTTTGCTTGTTTATGATCATATTTTGATAAAATTTTGAAAAAATATTCATTTCTTACTAAACTTTTAACATTTTACAACTAAAACACTATTTTACCTTCCCTGTTGCAGCAAACCTAAGTACTCGTTAAACTAATTCTATTTAAATAGGGAATAAATGTGATATTTTTAAGGAGACATTTAGGGTAAATCCAATCAGGTAAATGGAAATTCGCTTAGTTTGCAGGTATGCTGCGGCGGGGGTATATTTTTTACTACAGATTTGGTTTTCTTAATTTTGTACATGTGTCAGTAATAGTGCAATTTGGGTTCCTAAAAAACACATTGTATATACAGAGTTAATAATTCCTAGTTATTAATTAGTTTATGTGAGTCCGTGGCTCAGTCGGTAGCGTCGCAGACTTCGGGTCCAAGGCAGCGATGTCGTGGGTTTCGGATCCTGGTCACTGCCACTAAAATTTATCAGTACAGTTCACCTTTGTACTGTACCGGCTCACTCCTTGCTTTGCTGTAAACGTTCCACGCACGGGCGGTTAGTCTATGTGGACGGGCAAATGCAAGGTTAAAAGAGGCCGCCAACCTCTTAAAAAAAAAAGTTATAAGTAGGCCTACGGATATTACTTGATGTCAGCAGTAGTAATTTTTAGTTGTGTGAATTTATTAGTTATATTTTTTTACTTATTATTATGACAACACTCCTATCTTTGTACTTTGTACTTTTTAAGATGTTTATGAGTGAACAAAGAATTTAAATTTGAATATCCCCTCTTAACTTTTAAATGGATTACAACAGGGAATTAAACTCGGCACACCTTTATATAGCATAAAAGTGCACTTTTTGGTACGTTTAACAATTTTACCCAGGACTTATGGTCCAAAAAGAACTGACACATTTAAACATAAATTCATACATGAAAAAACTCAACAAGTTTTTAGTGATCCCATGTAGAAATCTAATTCTGGCCCAGGTTCTGGCCAGTACTGGTACAGTACTGGCCAGTACTGCTACAGTACTGGCCAGTAATACCCAGGTTCTGTCCAGTACTGCCCAGGTTCTGGCCAGTACTGCCCAGGTTCTGGCCAGTACTGCCCAGGTTCTGGCCCAGTACTTCCCAGGTTCTGGCCAGTACTGCCCAGGTTCTGGCCAGTACTTCCCAGGTTCTGGCCAGTAATGTCCAGGTTCTGGCCAGTAATGTCCAGGTCCTGGCCAGTACTGGTTAGAACCTGGACCAGAACCGGCCAGTACTGGCCAGAACTCACCAGTACTGGCCAGAACTCACCAGTACTGGACAGAACTTGCCAGTACTGGCCAGAACTTACCAGTAACTGGCTAGTACTTGTAGATTCTAGACCAATAATCAATCTTGACAGAGTACAGTATGTAAATAAAGGAACCGAGGTTAAGGTAATAAAATACAGATATTTGAAGTAAAAACTAGTCAATTAGTTAAACCTATATTTATTGAAAAATTAAGTTTAAAGCAAGACAAAATTTATAGGCCTACATGTTTAGATAATTTTCAAGGGTAAAAACTGTTACCATCAATAATATAGACTCAACTTGAACTCGCTCCCCCCCCCCCCACCATGGTTTTAAACCTCTCTGGATTTGGATCCAGTCCAGTTAGTCCAATTGAAGGTTTGGGTTTGGCAATGGCTTTGACCTTTGACCAATGAATACGAATACACAATTTAACGTTTTTTTAAGCTCAACGCATCGCCAACAAAAATCTAACACAAGAGGACAATAATTAAGACGAGGACAAGACAGAAGTGAGAAGAGCAAAGACGAAGATAACTATTTTTTTTTGTACGAGTTCCATTCCATTCCAAAATCAAATCCGATCCAATCCAACGTGACGCACGCCGGAGCGGAGCGGAGTTGTTACTAACTAACCTCAAATCTCAACCTGTCAGTTGGTCAGTTCAGTTTTGGTCTCGACATCTTTATTAACAGTTAATTTCTAACTAAGGTGTTCTTGTCTTAGTTATATCTTAATATTAATCGTAGAACAACGTTCTACCTAATTTGCTGTGAAAAATATCTATTCGTGTGGAATCAGAATGGATTATCGACAAAGAAACAGGTCGAACTTGGGAAACCATCAGGTTTATAGACAACTGAGTTCACAGGCCTCATTTTAGCAAAAAGTTGTAAGTAATGCACCACAGGTTTGCATAAGTGTCATATTATTAAGTTGTCATATTAAACTCATAATATGCCTTAATGTTGAGGTGGCTGTTAGGTTTAGTTTTTATGTGTCCAGTACCTAGTATAGGCCTAGGTAAACTTTAACTTAGGCCTACCTTATTCAGTGCAACAAAATAAACTAGCCTAGGCCTAGTTCCAATTTTAACGATTTTCTACTCATTGAAGTGTTAAATTTGGAGTTGTGAAGTATTTAGTCAGTATGTTACTTCATTATTTGATCTCACAAATTGTGTACGGTACGGTAAGTTTAGGCCTTGATAGCCTAGGCCTATGACTAGGCCTACAAGTAAAGCAAACCTTGATTGGATTTGTAAATTAATGATGAGATTCGATTGCAATTAAGTCAATTTTTAGTACCGGTAGCCTAACTTTTGTTCAGCGTAGGTTCCGTTTGGGGCTACATTTGGGTACAGTTTCCGATTGAAACTATCAAATGGAAAATATTGATTAATAATTGATTTTGAAATATATCTAGGCCTATTTTATAATTAAACTATCATGACCTAACCTAACCAACCAAACTTGCTGATGGTGAAAAAATCGCATGAAGGCTTACTAATCGAATCGATAGTTTCAATCAATATTAGCGTAGCCCAGTTAAGAAACTGTACCCGCCTACTTAACTTATGCCTAGATCAAAAGTAACTTAGGCTTAAACATCAAAATGCAAAACTACCTAATGAATAAGTTAGAGCCTACACAAAAACATTGTTTTTCATTTGAATGGGCGGCTATTTTTATTCACAGATTGTTTCGTTAAGTAAGTTATCTTAGGCCGGACTAACTTAACTTAACTTGATGTTTGGTTATGTTTGCTGTTGTATTTTATAATAAGAAGCCTACTAAGTTAGCCCTGATTATGTAAATAATATGATAAATAGGTCTTAGCTTAAGTGCTAAGGTAGGCCTAAGGCAGAGAACCCATGATGGGTTACAATAACGGATTAAATATTAAAATAGTCTACTTCGATATAACTTAGGCCTAACTATCGATTAACATGTTTCAATCGATATAAATATTGAATTTCAATATTGATTTTCGTTTACAGTAAGTTATGGCGTTTAGGTTAGGTTACCTACCTAGTTTAGTTTATGAAACTTATTAAAAAACTATATGAATAGGCCTACAAATTGATGTCTTTGTGATTGTATAATCTGTTAAACAAACCAAAGTAATATCAACTCTAATACCTACCAACAATTTTACTTTGATTGCTACTATCATAAACTAAACTAAAACAACCTAACCGCCGCAGAATGTGTGGAAAAAGTCTTCTTGAAACAACAACATTGATACAATTGTTACAATGGATATTTACATGAAAGCAAACTCATCCGATACAATATAACTACAGAATATAGTAGGTTCTCTACGGAACTGCACCCTTGGAAGTGCCAACATGAAAAAAGTACGGTACCGTAACAAGAAAGATAGGCTATAACATTTTTTTTGAGTCTTTTTATTTTAAGTCCCTATAACTGAGTATTTAAGTAAGCCTACCTATTTAACTTTATTTATGGCCTTTGAAATGATTTTTCATTATACTTATATAAGTTACGTAGCCTATTACAGTAAAATTTTAAGATGGCTGCTTAAGTTAACCTGAATTGGGATAAAACTAGATTACCTATTAGGTCCTATATTGATTCTAAATTGTGTAGGCCTATTGCCAGGTTATTTTACAAAATCAAGTTTTAATTCGATTATTGAGATATGTACAATCTAATTTCTATTCAATATAAATATAGCCTAGCCCGCATTAGGAACTGCGCAGCTTATGCGGCTATACATTAAAAATAATGGAGTTGTTCAAGTCTGCACATGTACATTGAAAGCGAATTAGCCCAAACTTAAAGACAACCCAACATAAAGGCCAAGCTGAGCTCTGGAGATACAAATATACTTACATCAGCTCACCATTTTTTATAGTTGTAACTTGTCTGTTTCAGGTAAAAAAACTTTATGACAACTACTGTACTACATTTATATTCTAAAGACCATTGTGTTAATACTATAAATCTGACATTATTAATTTGATTAATAATTATAACCCCGACAAATTAGATTCATTGGATATTTTGATTGTTTAATTTTTTACATTTTCAATATAAAATTAAATTTAGTATTGTAGGGTATTATCAATAGTATTCTTTTTGGTGATTTTACTTTTTCATACAACTTTTATTGTAATTTTGCAAAAAAATAATTTATTACCTAACCTTGATTTTTGTTAACATAATTTGTATTTTAGCATATGTAATTTTCAAATACAAATTGTTTATTGCTAAAGGTGTCTTATTAATTCATCTTCCATATTGGTTCAATTCTCACTACTGTATGATCTAGGTTCTGGTCCAGTAATGCCCAGGTTCTGCATAAGATCTAACACAACTTATGCACTCTGGCCAATAGTTGTAAGGGGTGGTTCCACTGTGTTAATCAGGGGGGTTATGCCTGGTGTGTGTTGTCCAGTCCTTCCCAGGTTCTGGCCCAGTACTACCCAGGTTCTGGCCCAGTACTGCCCAGGTTCTGGCCCAGTACTGCCCAGGTTCTGGCCCAGTACTGCCCAGGTTCTGGCCCAGTAATGCCCAGGTTCTGGCCAGTACTGCCCAGGTTCTGGCCCAGTACTTCCCAGGTTCTGGCCCAGTACTTCCCAGGTTCTGGCCAGTACTGGCCAGTTCTTGCCAATTTTGGAAGTGCCCAGAACCTGGGCCAGAAAATTTTTTTACTGGCCCAGAAAAATTTTTTCCACATGGGATATTTGATCAATCTCGACATGGCCACCAATTAAGGCTATGCCGGAGCCTTAAACAGTGCCATATTGAGATTTACTGAATATCACCAAAAACTTTTTGAAATTTTTTATCTGTACATATGTAAATGTTACCATTTAGTATTTGTAATTTTGTAAAAAAAATTATACTAAAATGTGTCAGTTCTTTTTGTACCACCCTGTATTACAAAATAATGGCAAAAAGTCATTAGTTTCTTAAACCAACTATTGCAGTAGAACCTCGATAGATCGACACTCCCTCTAGTTTGACACAGGTCGTGATGACAAGACATGTAGGCAGCAGCCGATGACGGGTTGCCCAAGGTTATTAACCCATTAATTTAAATTTTGTTCCAACATCCAAAGCAGTTGAATATCACAAACTATTTTATTACAGTAAGAAGCCAAAGAATGTACAGTAGAAATGTGAGTTGATAGGTTTGTTTATTTTATTTTGTAAAGCTGTATACTATTCATTGTGTTTTCTTTATCTCGTTTTTTTAATATGTCATGTGTAAATGTCCAATATACTTCCTATAGTACAAATTTTGATAGCTTGACATCCCCTTAGTCTTTAAGTGTCTGAATTATCGAGGTTCTACTGTACCACCAACTTTTATCAGTAGGTTCTGGATACAAACATCACCATTAATGCTTTTAATGAATTGACTCATATTATCTTTTATATCTTTCAAGCTCAGGTTTGAGGCTCAAGTGTATTGTTAAATGTAGCCTACATTAACAATTATGTTCATTAACAATCAAATGCAGGGCCGTACTCAGACCGGGTTTTCCGGACATTTTTACCGGGACCAGGGTCCCGAGGGGTCCAGGCACCGCCAAACATATACTTGAAGGGGAGGGGTGGGCCCGGCCTAATATCTTTACCGGGGCCTGCAAAAGCTGGGTACGGCCCTGATCAAATGTAAAGTAACAAATAATTGTTAAAGTATGTATCTGTAACTGTAAAACCGTAAAAGTAGGCCATCACTGAAAAAAAACTCTTCAAAGCTTAGAACCTCCATATCAACCAAAAATGTAAATTTTTATTTAATGTTTTTTTTAATACCACAATGTATGTTTTATTTTGTAGGATATGTCTTAATCCATTAATAAATGTTTGGATTGAATTCTATTTTGGTTAGATAGTTTAAATTATTAAATTACCTGTGGTGTGGTAAGTGATACAACTGTTGTTGGGACTAAAATAAAATATAATTATTAGTTATGGTAGTTCTGCAAAAAATTTATTTAATCAATATATCAAATATCCTTCAATCTAATTTTAAATCTGAATTATATCAAACTTATTTTTTAGCAACAAATAAAGGATTTAGATTCTCTGATGTATGAAACAGAGTGGCCTGATAATCATTCAACCCTTGCAATGCCCTTTCCTTGATTCGTCATTCTATTAAGGTCAAAGTTGTTAATTACTGTAAATTGTTCTTTTTCGGGTGATTAAATCTAAAAAGTAGGCCTAGAGTTTTTTTTTAGTTTAGGAACATCTTAGTTACAATATATAATAGGTTACTTACCTTGGTCCGTCTTCAGTCTTATTTAGAATTTTAGTTTTTAGAATTTTAGAGAATTTTAGTTTATAGACTAATATAAGACTGAAGACGGACCAAGGTACTTAACCTATTATATATTCGAATATCAGTCTTGGTGGCAAAGATGTTTAAGTTTATCTTAGTTACATCAATTATTATGAGATGTTAATAGGGTTGCAGTGATAGCAGATCTTCGAAATGAGTCCATAATTGCTTAAAATTCCTACAAAGCAATGTATAAAACCGTTTTGAACTAATACCAAGTTGCCAAAACCAAATAATATGTGGAATTTGCCATCCATTGAACACCACTCTAAGCTAGATTATCTATAACCTTTGGAGTAACTCTTGTTACTATATAGTACCTGTTCAGTTTTTGTAAACCTTCAACACTATCATAGCTGAAATCCATTTGCTAAAACAATTTCCATCAAATTCAGCATAATTTTAAACCATTTGTTAAAGCTAATAATATAAAGTGGACATTGTGGTGTCAAACTGAAAATCAATTGCTTCAAACATACTCAACTGGATCTGACCGTGGAAAATCGGATCATAGATTTCATACTGTGTTTGCTTATTACTAAATACTATCAGCAGTTCTCCAAAAATATGAATATGGTTTGTGAATGGTGCCGTACTATTTTAGTTTAAAGCTGATATTAATGACAATAAAAGATGATTTGATTTATATGTAAGCACTAAAGTTCTACAAAACAGAGTTTTCACAGCTTAAAATTTAACATAGGAACTAAATTTAACACTTCAGATCTTAATTTTAGCGTGGAAAGCCAATAATAAAAATAGTATATTGAAATAAAAAGTGTGTATTAGAGAATCACTAGTGGACCAGGTAGTTGTAGACATTGTTAGTGTCTCTTTATCATGTTTGAACCATAGATTAGAAATAGATCAACTGGTGTATTAGTTGAGATTCAAGATCATCTCTAGTTGTAAAATCTCTGCAACATACTTTCACAAGGAGTACCTACATTTTTTCAATTGACCAATTTACTTCAAACATCAGACATAAAATATTAATAAAAAGTTAAAAAATAAACATTAAAAAACTCTTCCACAAACAATGGTGTGGCAAGGTGATATGTTTGGTTAGATGTTTGAAAGCATGAAATCAAACCTGGTGGCAAGACACCATAATCAAAGTGTCACTGTCCATGGTAGTATTGTATAGTAAGTGTATTATCATTAGACTAGGTTAAGGCTCTGTGTGCTTGGTGTAGTCACTTATTTTATGCTCTGTTTTATTCTGCTTGCATGGGATTGTCAGGCTGCAAAGGTGACAAAATTTTCTACATTTAATTTAATATAGTTTTAGAAATACGCTTTTCATTACTAGTAGCATGATTTACCTTTTCACGACCCAAACTTCCTCCTTTAGTTAATCCTTCTATTTATTTCAAGCTTTCACAGTGTATTTTCCTTAGTTCAGGAGGACTAGATAGATTTTTAGCTAAAATGAAATGTTAGGGATACAATAAGTGCAGTTATAATTTGAAATCCGCTTTCACTTAGCTATCATGTGTGAAATACATAATTGACTCATAAATTTTCTCATTTTACATGCATTTCCATCCTTTTACAACTCATGCCAATGAAAAATAACGGACAGTTTTCTTATGTTTATTACTTGAATGTGTATAGTGTAAGTTTTGCATCTATTTCAAATTTAAATTATTTGGTTCAAGTTGGTACTTGTATAGACAGTGCAAAAGGTGTCTCCAACAGTTTTAAGAGTCACTTTGTAAGATTTTACCACATACTTTCCTGGACAAAACACAAGCTATATTATTAGTGTCCTTTTATGACTTACCATCCACCAGTATAACTAGGTTTGTTTCTTTTTCATTGGTAAATTAAGGTCTCTATAAGCTTTTGTCGCAGCCAAATGAGCTAGGTTAGATTTCCATACCAATATCGTAGTCTTTACTTCGTCCACTTCTATTCTAGATGGTTCCCATTACTATGTGCCTATTAGTCCCCTCATAATATAAAAAAACCTTGTAAAAGAAAGTTGACGCTCCTTAGAAGTATGAATCACTTTCTGTGATTAGATTTTTATGCAGGGGGTTAACACCTGTTGAAACCTGTTGCCAGTTGACAGACATGTATGCAGAAAAATGTTTCAAAGTCTAGAATGTGCATATGTGACTTAGAGAGTAAGGCTGGTCATATTTGCACAACAAAGTCGTTATGGGTGTTCATCAGTTTCCACAGAGATAGTGACTAAAGTGAAGGAAACTTTGCTTGCCAACCGGTGTGCTTAAGACTACCAGGGTTGACCATAGTGCTTGACAGCCCAATAGAGCCCTTCCCTATCAGTTCAGCAATCTCTTTTCTTCAGTCACACCGCGGGCTGCAGGCAACATTTCTTTGGTGACTGCCTCAAACGAGATTGACAGATGACCGCAATAAGCCTACACCATGCGAAACATCATACAAATGATAGAGAACCTACTAACTCCATCGAGCCCTCAAGCCAACAAACATTTCCTACGTCCAAACACCTTACTTTGACAACTGGTGAAGGACTTAAATAGCAGAGACCAGAGAGTTCTTATCACAGAAATTGATTTATACTTGGCATGAGCATAAGCATACTTGGCATAGTGTAAGAAAACCTTTTTTACGTTTTCTTATACTACGACGTGACAAGGCTAACACTCCCAAGGGAGTGGGAAACAGCTAGAATTGTTGTGGATCAAGTAAGTAATGACACTGGTCTCAGATTTAGATTTAAACCAGCTCGATTTCCTAGATAGTGGCCTTAATTTACGGACAGCCCTCGTAATTAACCTTATTTGACAAATTTCTTGTTAATTTGCATTTGTGTTATAGTTTCACTACAGTATATTTGTAATTCATTTTTTCAATATCAGTAGGAATATTGTCACTCATGGAGGCAAAGGGATTATTTTATCTTGATAATTATAAAGCTTTAAGGC